CTCCATTCTCGCCTTACTTGCTTAATATGTTCTTTGTTGAGTCCAAAGTTCTTTTGCCTTTGTTGTTTGATTGTCTCGGCATTATCTTTTCTATATTCCTTTGCTTTTTGTTTTATTATGCCTTTGTTGTTTTGATAATATGACAGGTGGTAATTTTGTTTCTCATCATCTGTTCTTACTGGTTTAATCTTGTTATGGTGAAGTGGATGGACGGTAGAAATTGTTTGATGATCGAATCAAGTTGTACAGTACAACCTGAGTCGACGAGGGCGTAACAAACATTTCCATTTCCTGTGAAGCACAGCGGGAAAATAGTGTGGGCCGCCCGTGTGTTGACAAGGGATTAGAAGTTGACGTTGGTAAAAGGTTAAACTTTCAAAAGGACAGCTCTTCCGGTTCTTTGCATACCGGTTTTCGGTTGCCCCTTCAAGGGATTTTCTCCGACAGTCCGTTCCGGTCTGCTGTTGAACCTTTCGAAAATTTCGAGACGCTCTTCTGCATACCGGGAGGGACTCCCCTCCTCTGCAGTCTCTTGCCCTCCGGAACACCGCCCCCACACCTGGACTCCCGTTGCGGTGGTGGTGCTTCGGACCCACGCACTTTCACTTCTTGAAGATTTCCGGTAGTGCCCGACTTGCTTCTGAGCCAAAATCAAGTTTGTCACTGCTGGTTTTATTCTGTATCTTCCGCTTGGTATTGAGGTTGGATTTCCGGCTATCGTCCGGTAGATTCCGTAGGGATGTGTGAGATACCCCAAGATCTCATGCTCCGGATTAGGCCGGTCCGAAACCGGACCGGCCGGACACGACTAGTCCGGTAGTGGTCAAAAAAAGGGGTCCGAGTGCTGTCTGCTTAATCACTAGGCCACGAGGCCCCGTCCGTACGGTAGGAAACGGAAGCCGGGCTCGAACATGTTGTTTGTTTTCGATTTCTTGTGAAAAATCGAAAAATGATCGTTTGCGGCTGGGTCCGTTTCTCAAACACTGATGCGTTGCTGTTGGGAGTTTGTTTTCGCAGTTATGTTACAATAACGGCAGGTTTTTTGAAACACGTATCACCCAAAATCTAATCAGGGTGTTTGATGCAAACACAAGACACCAGCGATATCCTCGAAAACTGAAGAACAGCAACGATTTGAATCCGCCAAAGAGTGCTTCGCGAAAGCTTTGCATGTGGAGCATCAGGTCAAATGCGACTGCTTTTTGTCGCGGATTCTAGCCCGACTCGCGGATTCAGGTGTCTCATTGATCATGCGTTGTCCGTCAAGCTGAAGTAGTAGCCAGTGGCAAATATAGTGCAGTGTGCGGAGCGGCGCTGCTGGGCACGGACCTCAATGCCTATGTCATGTGCACCGGGTCAACAGCTTGAAGCAGCGGGAGGACATGGCGAATTTGAGATCCTTCGAAGGCAGCAATTTACGCAGTTGTTGTTGCCGGACCCGCTTTCCTTGGCATTCTGCAGGTTTGCAGTTCAATTTGTTGGCACTTTTCGAAAAGCAGGGTGCCAACCATGCAGACATATTCATCCAGGTGAGGATGTCAAATTGCCCAGGCTAAGTCGAGCATTTGACGGTATGGCCAGGCAGAAGGACGCGAGATTCCTGCACACAAGGCAAGCTTGGTTGTGCTGCCCCAGGTGTTTGTCCATGTGCACTCACAAGGGCATGTCCTCCAGGCGATCTTGGCTGCGCATTCCCCTTTCTTGTCGGCACTCTTTGCAGAGAACCCCGGCCACGAACGGGTGGAGCAACGGCCAAAGGATTGGGGCATGACCGAGTCAAGGAAGTTGTGATCTTGTTCATTGGCTGCATTGGCTGTCTGAGGTTGGAACACAAATTCACTGTGGCAGCGCCCAAAGCTGTCATGCATCGTTCTGATGCTTCCAGCAGCGTGAACTTTGATCACAAAGCCTTTGCTTGAGGTTTACACCCTGGTCCGTTTGCTGTCACCTGCGCCTGCATTGTTCGTTGGCCCCAGACTCCGCGACGTCCATTAGTGCACGCCAGGTATTTCGGAGGTCTCGCAGCAGATCGGTTGACATCGCTGGAAGGCACGTCCGACACGTCCCGTCCCTCCCGTCTGTCAAAGTGGGTCCCCCGCATCTCAGGTTTAGATCTCCTCAGTCTTGCGGAGGCGGAGAGTCGATACCTTTCATAGCTTTCACCCCCTCTTTCGTCCTGGCCCACAGGAGCTTCAGGTCAAGGCAGTAGAGGCAGAGGACGTCAGGCCCATTATCGTGTTTGGGCCCCAGCATTTCTGCAATCTCGAAGCTTTTCTTGCCGACGTACCGGATCGAGGAATGGTTTGGACGAGTCAAACTGGTCCCGTGCCAAGTTGTGGACATGGCTAGCATTCAGAATGCTTGAGCAAATGACAACTGCCAGTGTGGATGTCCTGAACCACGAAGCCCTCCACAAATTTCCGGAATTTGAGGAGCTATGGGACCTTCGCTTGTCAAATGCCTCGTGATCAAACCTGTGTTGGAGGATGCTGCGTGCAAGTTTACGGGCGAACACCTGCAGTCGATGTTGAAGAGCCGGAAGGAAAGCCTCCTCAAGGTTCCAAGGCCGAAAGGGCCAAAGGACCAGGAGATTTGAGCGACATCGGAGCTGTTAGCGGCTGGAAGGCATCTCCTGACCACCGTTCTTCAGTACGCATGCCATCAGGTGTCAGACCGAGCTCCCCGTGTGCAGATAGGCCAGATAGGCTGTTGACAATGACAATGGCGGCAGGTTTCGAACGACGCCGAGACTGACCTCGTTGCCGGAAGCTGAGACATGACATCACATCGCGACATCATTCTTGCAAGACCTAGGTGAAATATTGTTTGCAGCACACACAGATCGACTCCGCGCTCGGAGTCTCAGAGACAGCTTTCAGCGATAGCTGCTTAGCTGTGCCGCTCAGTCCGGTCCTCCGGCAGGTGTGACTTGCTTCGTGAGACAAAGACCTGGCAGTGGGGTGGCACCGGTCTCGGTTGACCGGGTTTCCGAGTCCGAGTCAGCTAGTGCAGGCAGAAACAGAATCGCCGAGGTGGAGACTTCTCGGTGCTGCGGTCCATCCCTGCCGAGGCTGAGCGGCCGAGCCGAGCGGCCGAGCTCGCTGTCGCGTCCTGCGGGCCCCGGGAGGACCAGAGCGAGCAGCTGGAGGATCCAAGCCAGGTTTGGCGCATCGATGGAGTGCCGGATGCCTGGCGGGCTCCTGGCTTCGCCTGGCTTCCTGTCCTTGCCGGAACTTCTTCAGGCGAATGGCAATGGATGGAACCCCAGCGAAGGCATGGTAAAGACTGAGGCTTTACAGCAACCCTTGCCTGAGATATGTGAAGACAGGTTGTAGCTGGGAAGTTCTTTGACTGGTGCATCCGCTTGGATTACGGGGCAGAGGCATTGCAAACAAGAGCCCCCACGTCACGTGCCCACGTCAGTGTGCTTGTCAGGGCAAATTGCGGCTTGTTTACGAGAGTGCGAAGCCCACGGAGGCCCCAGGTTTCGTCTTGCACAATCTTCCGTGAACTAAATCGTTTGTGTTGAATAAGTGAATAAGCACGAGGAGAGCCGTGCCATCAACCGGTTTCCTGCTGCGATGTTTGCGTGCCTTGAAGCGCACTGGGAGCCGTTGCGCATTTGAGCTTGCTCTGTGTGGCTGCATCCGAATACCAGAGTGTGAGTCAGAGGGTTTGTCGTGCTAGGTGGCAGGTGATGTACAAGGGCCAGGCCGGGTTTCAGCCTGCTTCGCAAGATGTTGGGGACTCCGTGGATCCGAGAACGTGTTCCACGAGAAGCCGGTGTTCATTTGCTTTCCGGAAAATGTTCCTCTGCATTGGTCTACGCCAAAACCTGAGTGAGATCCAGCTTTCAGAGCTAGGCTAGGCGGATGGTGTCTCTGCGAGGACTTTGCCAATTACTGCCTCGGAGCTCAGCGATGATGACAGCCTCGAGATTACCGTATGCTTCCCAGATGTCATCGTCATAGCAGTCTATAGCAGTCTATAGCAGTCATAGCATGGCTTACGACACGGCTTCTTCTTGCAGTTTTCTTGAGGTGATGATGGCAGAGAACCCAATGATCTCCTTGGTCCTCTACTATTTCAGTGCAGATCTGAAGACCACCGTCTTTGCCGAGGCAGAGAAGGGGGCCCGCCAATTGGGGGGAAGCTTGGACTTAGATCTCGCGGCGCGAGGATATCCTGAACCGCTTGCCGCACATCGAGTATCGCTGTCTCTCCTCGTGCCCTCTGCCTCTGTGCGTTTACGTCAAAGGTGCGCGCATTTTTTTGCGGGCGGAGGTACTCCTTGGTGAAGACCCATGGGCCAGATGCATGACAGAAGCAAGCGCAGCAAGCTGCTCGCCTCCTGGAGGCCCAGGCCCAGGCCCAGGCGGCCAGGCGGCCAGGCGGCCAGGCTGTCTCCTCCCAAAGGGAGGTTTCTAGGCACAGACGGACGGGACCTGGGGTCGTCTCACAGCGGATCGTCTCACCACACTTTCAAAGCCCACGACATCCGCCGACCTTCGAAATTGCTGGGCAATTTGGCTGTGTCTGGCAGATCTCTTGGAGCAAGAGTGCAGCAAGCGCAGCTTGTGCTGCCCTTTTCCTCAAGTGAAGGGCCGAAGGGCTAATCCCGTAGTTGGCGGGGACATCGGCTCCACAATGGTCACCGCCCTGCTCGACCTCAGAGAGGCCTCCAAGGCAGAGCTTTTGAAGCCTTACTAAGGCTGAGCACCTGCACTATGGAGACCTTTCCGGGCCGCGGGCCCACCGGGGCGCAAGGGGCCCAAACGTCGTTTAAGCGACCGTCCTCGAGGTCCCTGGGAGCTGCTGGGGAAGAGCGCCCCAGCCTCAGCTCCTCCATGGCCATGGCCATGTGGCAATGGCCATGGCCTTCCCAGGCCCTCCGCCCTCAGAACGTGCCCTCCGCTTCTCTGCCTTAAGGGGAAGCCTTCAGCGGTTCCAACATCCATGTGCCCTCCGACGCGGACATCGTCGCAGGAGCTGCCGACGACATGGCCCGTGCCCGGTCCGGCGCCGAAGTCTTCGTCGCGGAGCATCGCGGCGCGTCGCGGCGCCCCAAGGCAGCAGCACGAGGAGGCAGTGCGGGCCTTCGAGCAGAAGCGCACCCAGCGAGAGTATCTCGGCCCAACGGAGCCAGAGCAAACTCCAACGGCGGAGCGCGGTGGAGCCAAAGAGGGAGGGAGCGTCTTCACGGACACTGTGCAGGCTGGCGGTGCCCACTGGGGACGTGCAGGTCAAGGCCAAGCTCCGGGAGTTTGGTGAGCCGGCGAGCGCCCCTACGGAGGGCCGTCCGAAGCGTTTTAAAGCAGACAGAGGCCACAGTGTCACAGAGGCCTTTCGAGTTTTTCGCTGAGGTGTGCATCTTCGGCGAGGGCCCCTATGAGCGCAGGGACCGCTTGCGGACCATCATGGCGGGCCGCAGATTCCTGAGCGCCTTCGAATTCTATGTCTCCAGAGAGTTACAACGAGAACTGTCTGAGGTACTGCTCCGACCTTGGACGCGAAGAGGCAGGAGTCCACTGGGGACGAGGCCTGGCCAGACGCGACTCCTCCCTGCTCCACTGCGCCGCACTGCGCCGCACTGCGCCAGCTCTGTGAGGACCTTTTCTACACGGAGGGCTTGGAGGAGCTGCTGGAGGCTCGCGTGAAGATCGCAGAATGGTCGCTGGCTGAGAGCGGGGCACGGCCCCGGCGCCGCTCGTTCCACGCATGTTTCTGGTCTTCTTAGGTCATTAGCCAGAGCAAACCAACGACTGGAGCCGACCTCAGAAACCGGCCCACCGCCGCCGACTTCATTGCATCCGACGCTGTTGTTTGCATGGGGTGTGGGCTGCCAAAGTAGTACCATCAGTGTAGGACCCTTGTACTAGAGTTGATGTTGTGCTATGGTGGAATGTATCGTACCCTTTGCTTCAAAAGCGACAAAGAAACGGGATCGGAACTCAAGTTGCTCACAGAGATCGGACAGTGCTGTTTGTCACCACGAGGCGCATACCGAAGCCCTGTAACATTCAACCAGATGGAGCCCGTCCACCCGTTTGGGTTTTTGCTGAACATGCACCTTTGCATGTCGCGTCGTCTGTACATGTGTAGTGTTTTCCACTTGCCCTGAGGCCCAAGCACGATCGGTCTTGAGCATGTTTTTCACAAACCATTTGTACCATAGTTGTAGGTGCTATACTCAAATAGCACGGGCTTCAAACACTGGCTTTGTTCTTGCTGCGTAAGATGCATGACGCTTCCACGTGTAGGAAGCAACTTGTGACCGTGCACCCAAGGCTGTTTTTGGTTGAGAAAGCATGTTTTGCGAACTTTCTGCTAGTTTCTGGGTTCGAATGCGGCCCTTGCCGGTAGCTGCAGCTGGCGGTCTAAGTGGGGGTGCGGTTGGCCTTGGTCTTCAGGTTCTTCAGAGGTTCTTGGATTCTGATTCGGGGATCCTCGTCCCTCCTGAGGCTTCTGTGGCCTACTTCCTTCCTCCTCCCTTGGACTTTGGACTTCCCTCATCCTTCGAGGGCATCCACTGGATTTCCTTCGGCCTGGGATTGGCCTGTGGGATCCTTGCCGGGCCTCTGCTGGACTTCCTGCTTCTGCTGAGGTTGCTCATTGTGCGCTCGACGCACCAGGCCAGCCGGCCCCTTCTCAGGTGGTACAGGATCCTTGCATGAGCTCGGAGCTCGCTGCTCTCAGGTTGGAAATTCGTGAGTTGCGAGCTTTGTTGGAGAGTTTGGAACTTCGGGTGGCTGCTTTGGAAGTGACCGCGACAGCGTACCCCACGTTGTAGTTGAATCCCCTCCTGCATCGACTCCTCCTCGTGCAACTGCTTCTAGCGCTCCAGCTAGCCCGGTTCCCAAGGCCGGTGGGTATTCTGACGGGTCGGGGCCTGACGCCCCGGGACCCCCTACATTTGCCTTTCGAGTGTAGGAAAGAAGTTTCACGACGTCGTGCATGTGATAGTTCAGGAAGTCATTTCCAAAATTGTATTTCAAAGAATTCGCATAGCAGTGTTCTTAGGAACCCCAATGGGACTGATTACTTGGATCACCGCAGATGCTCAAAGCATCAAAGGAAGACAAGAGAAGAGAGGAGAGCCAAAGCAGTGAGCAGGAAGCAGTGCAAGTCACTACTTTTAGCAGCACTTGTGTACAGCAGCCTTGAAACAGCAAAAGGAATGGAGGATGCATAGAAGAAGCTTGCAGAGATCAATGCACAAACACTACAAGGAATACAGACACTAGCAGAGGAAATCAGGAGCTCAGCAGCATCAGGAAGCCAAAGAGAAGCAGGACTTACACAGGCATTCCAGAAAACACGCACAGCAGTACAGGAACAACAAAACGTAGCACAGACAGCGTTAGCAGACGCTCACACCAACGCAGCAACGACACTTGAGGAGATAGGAGCATCGTTGGAGAAAGCAGTAAAGGAACAAAGAAAGCCTGGAGAAGTGGAGTTGCACAAGTTGATTAAAGCCCCTGAAGCATTTTCCCCAGGAGCGTGGCAAGAAGAGAAGAGTGGCTGGACAGAGTTCAGGAACAGGATACGGATCTGGCTTGGAGCAGTGGATTCCAATATGGCCAAGATCATGGACATCGTTGAAAGGAACTTGATGGAAGACAAGATGATCAAGATGGATGAGATGTCTTCAGAAGCAAAGGAAGCTAGCCGTCGCCTGTACAGTGTTCTTTGTTCATACACCAAAAGAAGGCTCTACCGTGTTGTAAAACATGTAGGAGAGGAAAACGGTATGGAAGCCTACCGTATGTTGATGAAGGAATATCAGCCAACGAACCGAACTGTGTCACAACATCCTCAACTACAGGTTTGCTCACAACAAAGGAATTGCTGAGAACATCATCGAATATGAGGAACACATCGAGCGTTACGAGAAGGCGACACGAGAAAAAGGTACAAGAGAACTTGAAAGTGTCTACTCTTATCCAAGGAATGAAACCTGATGTCAAAAGGCACCTGTTGCTTAACCTTGACGAGAAAACCAAGTACACAGCTCTTCGTCAATACCTTGTGAACTACGACTCTTTGTCAGCTCACCAAGGAACACCGCACCGAACAACTACAGACTTGATCGACAAAGGTGAAGATCATGGTGGTCTTGCTGCAATGGACATCAACCAAGCATGGTACAAAGGTAGGAAAGGATATGGCAAAGGCTATGTGCACCACAAAGGTGAAGGTAAAGGAAAAGGCAAGAAAGGTGGAAAGGACTTCGGAAAAGGTTTCGGATTTGACGGTAAAGGCAAAGGTAAAGGCAAAGGTTTTGGAGGTTTTGGCAAAGGCAGAGGTCGAGGCAACTGGAAAGGTCGAGGTCGAGGTTTCAGAGGCTGCAAAGGTAAAGGAAAAGGTAGAGGAAGAGGATTCTTCAGGTCTAAAGGAAAAGGTAAAGGAAAAGCACAAGCAGCTACAGGAGTTTGTCACTACTGTCACAAGTACGGACACGTTGAAGCACAGTGTAGGCAGAAGCAACGTGACATGGGATACCAAGCTAGGAACGTGGACCTGGAAAGCCAAAGCGAACAGGCTAGTACTACTGCAGCCTCTACTCAGGCCCCTTCGTCAGCGAACAAGGCCTCAACAAGCCAAAGCCAAGCAAGCCAAGGAACCCAAAGACCAGTGATTAGGATGGTCTCCATGTACCACATGGGAGATCAGCCCACAAGTTTTCCGGAGGAGTTCGAGTTGAGTGAGAATTCAGATAAATTGAGATCGAGTACTTCGGAAGAGTCTTGCGGGTTGTTGGAGAAGAAGTTCAGGAAGAGAGGAGTGAGACAGAAGAGTTTTGGATTGGTGATGAAGATGATGAGTTTTAGGGTTGTGATGAGGTGAGTGATGATGCATGGTTGCAGTGGCACTTGGAAGGAACCCCAGTAGGAACTCAAGATCGTGGATGCTACTACGAGTGCCCTAACGGTTGTCACGAGACACCTTGGCATCCGAACATGCAGGAATGTGAATTTGGATGTCACCATCCTCCCAGAAGGAACCGAGTTGAAAGAACAGTACCTCCGAGAGCGAGCACCAGCTTTGTGCGCGCAGCAAGAAGATCAGGAACTCGTGAGATCGAAGTCGTGCTGGATTCAGGAGCCGACATTTCGTTGGCACCGATGTGGATGAAGAAGTACGGAACAAAGGCGCCTAACACAACCAAGGTGGTCTTGCGAGACGCACAAGGAACACGGCTGAAAGTTTCGGATCAAAGGATCATTGAGGTTGAATTTCAAGATGTTCAAGGAAACATGTTGAAGGTTGAAGAAGTGTTCTTGATTTCATCGGTTGCGCACCCTCTTTTGGCAGTAGGTAAGCTGTTGAAGAAAGGTTGGGAGTTCAGAGATGGAGCAACTACAGGCACTTTCTTCACACAAGGAACAACCAAGATCGCAGTGAACTACAACAACAACTCACTTACAACAAAAGCCTTCGTGAGAGCAGTCAACTGGGAAGCAGAAGCAAAGCCTATTCCCATTTATTTGTGCGAGAACCTGAAGGAACTCATTGAAGAGCAGCGTGTCGGTTGGACCAACTGGAGAGACCCTTGCCAAGTGCACTATAGCTTAGGAACTTCAGAACACGTTGACACATACTTGATGTTTCCACCAGGAAAGTGTGCATACAGAGCAGTACTCATTGAGGACGATGACCAGTGGTATCTGTTGCACCATAGTGTCATGTTCGAGGAACTTGAAGAACCATTCGGGGCGATCTTTGACGGTAGCAAAGAGTACCGTACATTGACTCTAGTTTCTCTCAAAGAGTTTCCCTTGAACCTCATAGGTACACCCAACAAAGACAGTGATAGGCGCATGTTTGAAGAGTATACTGAGGATACATGGTCAATCAGCATGGATGGCAAAGAACTCATTAGGTACCATAATTCTCTTAGGAAGACTCTGTTCAATCCTCGAGATACCAACGACATCCCAGTGGAGATCATGAACCTGAAGCCTACTAGGTACACCCAAGGTGAAGAATCGATCAACAAGGATTTCTTTGAAGATGACAAGTTTTGGACTTTGGATGAGCCTCACAGAGACCCAGAACCACTAGGAGGTTTGTCTTGGACAGGACATAGTAGATTCGAACTCATTGAACCAGTGAACCCCAAGGCCAGAAGACCAAAGCAGAAGGCTCACCGACTGGACACAATCCTTGAACAGGAAGAAGAACAGGAAGAGACCTCAGAGGCCCAAGCACAAGAACATAGGCAGGAACTTGCAGGAGAACTGTCATTTACTTTCAATGGTCATGAGTACAACCAGCAGAACAGCCTCAAGACCCTCAGAGAACTTTGCAAGGAACTTGGAGTTGCAAAGTTTAGTTCTAAGCAAGAGATCCTTCGAAGGCTCAGTAGATCCATCATGGAAGCAGAGAGGCACATGGAGCTCAGCACAGCTCAGAAGAAGTACAAGGAATACATAGAAGCAGAACCCTTGAAGGTACAGAAGCAGCCCAAACCTGAAGAAGTTGCAGTGCACAATCTTACACACTTGCCTTATGCATAATGGTGTCCTACATGTGTAGCATGCAAAGGGAAAAAGTCTCCACATCCTCGTGAGAACCCTGAGAAGGAAAGATCTTCGAGACCTACTTTCTGTATAGATTTTTGTTTCACAGGAACAAGTCATGATGAGGCACCAGCGGCAGTAAGTCTTGTGTGTGTGTGTTGATTCTTGGAGTAGGAACATGATCTGCATCCCTACAGCATCTAAAGGAAAAAATCTTGTGGAGCACCTTTGTGAAGGAGTCACTTACCTGAGCACTCAACTGCAATGTGGAACAATCAACTTAAAGGCTGACAACGAAGGAACAATGATGAAGTTGAAGCAGGTAATTCAGAAACAGCGTGCGGCATTAGGTCTAGGAACAGTCTTGCAGGACGCGATCAGTGGCGCCAAAAGGAAACCAACGGCATGGCAGAGAGAGCAATACAAACCATTAGGCGCCAAGGAACAACCTTGATCAGGCACCTTGAACACCGTACAGGAACATACATCGCTCATACCCATCCAATCTTCAGTTGGGCTTTCAGGCATTCGGCATGGACCTTGAATAGGTACCATCGCCACACAGGAACAGGAATGACGCCCTACGAGTGGATTGCCGGGCGCCCCTACGAGGGCCAACTAGCAGAATTTGGCGAATCTCTTTTGGTTTTGGCCAATCGTTCAGGAACCAGAGGAAATAGGAAAGGCGACCCTATTTGGCTGAGAGGAGTGTTCTTAGGAAAAACAGACAACAACCTCTTGATTACATGGCACATGGACGGGATCAAAACGAGTTGCAGCGCCAAACGTTGCGCAGAACGTTTCGATGTTAAAGGAATAAGTAGTGTAGGAATACACACATGGAAAGTGAAGCATACCACACTCACTACAAGGAACACCCCCAGGAAGAATATCCCAGGACCAATTGCAGAGGCACCACCTGTCATGGATGGAGCCGGAACTCAGAAACAGTCTGGTCAGGACTCAGCACCGTGGCCAGCAGCTGGCTCGCTACAGGCTCCGACCGGTTCCTGTGTTTACTCAGGGTTGTTTCGGACTTACTCATCCCCGCGGCCCCGCTTGGGTTCAAGCATACACCACGCAACAGCAGCTTGCTTTCAAAAACTTTTAGCTTTAGCTTGTTCACTTTCCAGCTTTGCTTCATGCTTAGGCTTTTAGCTGTCAGGACTACTTTTCAGCAGCTTTAAGCCAGCTAAGCGAGTTCAGCCAGCCTCGTGCATGGAAAACCTGCCGGCCGCTTCCCGCCCTCAGCTGCAGCTCCAACTGACTGAAGAGGTCAGATCACTGATCGATAGGCTCGTCGACTTGGAGGCTGAGGGGGCCGCACAACGAGCGGAAATCTCCCGCTTGCACTGCAGGGTCAGCCGGCTTGAAGCTCAGGTACACCAAGGTCACAACTGGCTTTTGCACTTAGCAGACAGGGCCACCTCCTTGGAAGAGGTTACACAGAAGCTTTCTATCAGGCTGCGGGCCTTGGTCAGCTTGCTTCGCGAAACGCTTTCTGAGACTGTTGCCCGTCTTCGGATCTGGTTCTAGGTATGGCTGCCTCTGGCTCGGGCGGTGGTGATGCACCAGCTTGGCCTTCTAGCAGGGTGGCTACGGACATACTCTTGGCTGATTCATCGCCTTTATGCACGGATGCTGACGCTTTGGAACTTAGGGAATCTTTTCGCAACCACTTTGCTGACTTTGCGGACCCTGAGTACCCTAATCAAGTGCCCTCAGCTTCGGCGCCCACTTTTGAGGTTGCCGATTCAGATGCAGAGGAAGCCTTTGAACCCAGGAGCAAGCTTCGACGCCGCTGGCTTCACCAAGCACATTGTGCCCCGGTGACTCCTCCTCCCCTACCTATGGAAACCAGCCCAGGTGCATCCAGCGGTGATCAATCTTGGCAGCTTATAGAGCAGCACCAGCCGGAGGCCGAGACGCCTTCCTTTGAGGGGCTCACTTCAGGCTCTTCGACCTTTCAGTTTTTGCCGCTGCGATCAACCCCTCGACCCAGCTTGTCAGCTACGTCGAGGGCACCCACTTGGCGGGCTCCAAGGGTGTGCTTAAGGTACAACTCCCCTTTTCAGGTGGGGCACACCGGGCGTCAGCCTACAGTGGCTCGGTTCCGCCCACGCTCCCCCTTTTCAGCCCCGCTTCAGGCCCCCAGCATTGTACCTGTTCAGCAGTCTACACCGCAAAACTTCCCGGCGGCGAAGGCACTGCCGCACTTTCAGGACGCGTCGGCTTATGCAGCATATCCTACGCTTCAGCAGACTCCTGTTCAGGCATCAATCTCTTTGGCGACTCCGAGACCGGTCCAGTCCTCACCGGCAGCTTTGCGAGTGCCCTCGGAACTGCACCCCCCGGCTTTGCGAGCTCCGACAGCTGGCATGATGACGAGCAAGGAAAATCATCAGGCATGCGATGAGCGGAACAAGGCTCTGTTCGACCAGCTTTGCAAATCGCATGGGGCCTACAGCTCGGTGCTCCAGCAGCTTGAAAGTAGCCGCGAGGGAGCCGTGATTCGGTCCCGCTTGCTGAACAAGGTTAGCGACACCACAGCTGCCCGCTACCTTCGCTCTGTTCAGCTTTTCTTTTGTGCCTTTGAGGAGCGGGGCGGCAGCATGGAGGCCATAGATCAGGGACTGTTCCTCGATGCTTTCTTCGCTTTGTCTCGAGGTGCTGATTCAGGCCCCCTTTCAAATAGCATCAACGTCCTCAAGGCGCTCCGGTGGTATAAGAAACTTCTGGCAATCGCTTGTATGCCCGACTTGTATGGCACCGCTTTCAGCTTGCTCTCCAACCCGGCCGGGCAGGAGAAACGCGAGAGTATACCTCTCCCTTTGTCGTTCGTGGCTTTTCTTGAACGCATGCTCCTGTCTGGCAAGGCAAGCTTGATGGACATGATCTGGGCAGGATCCTTCCTTGTGGCTATTGGTGCTAGCCTCCGCTTTGCAGATGCACAACACATTCGCTGGAGCACGCTCTGCGTTAGCAGCTTCACTTTGAGAGGAATCTGCTACAGGACAAAGACCACTAAAGGGGGATGCCCATGGGGCCTCCTCAGCTTTGGAGTCTTCTCGTCCTCCGAGGACTGGGGCATGACATGGCTTCCCCACTGGCTTGGGGCACTGGACACAGTATGGTGCGAGGTTCGCTCCCGCTTTGGGCCCCAGCCGGAACCCGACTGTCTGTTTTTCCTTTGGAGCGAGACCGGCTTTGCACCCGCATCCTACTCCCAAGCCCTGCAGAAGCTTCGCTACATGCTTACACTCTCTGGTATAGCACCGGCTCAGGCAGCACAATATACGCTTCACAGCCTCAAGACCACCTTTCTGTCTTGGATGAGTCAGCTGTCTATCCCACTCTCTTCCCGCTTCCTGCAGGGGCACCACAAGGCTCCAGGGTCAGCTCAACTTTACTCGCGGGACGACGTGTGGCCAGCTTTGCGTGCACAGTGGCTGCTTTGGCGTTCAATACATGCCGGCTTTCGTCCAGCGAGACCACAGCACAGAGGCGGACAGTCCCCGCTTGTTGAGCCACTTGTGGACACTGCAGGTTTCCAGTGGGTGGAGCACTGCCCGGACCTCTCCTGCTTTTCAGTTGGCAACGATTGTCAGTCCTTCTTAGCCCTGGAGCAGCAGGATGGCGACCTCCGTGACGCCCGGGAACGCGTCTCTTCACTTTCCGGAGCCAAGCTTCCACCATGTGTTCGCGCCCGTGCCCAGGTCGACCACTTCGAGGACTCCGACGCGGACGAATCAGGCCCGGCTCGTGCCGCTTCCAGCGCGCCCCGCGATCCGGAGGTCGATCCCACATGGCAAGCTGAGTCCGGTGAGGCACCCAGCCTTTCACACAACCCGCAGCCGCTTGCTGCCCCGCCCGCTGAGGGTCTCCGCTCTAGCTGTACAGAGGTACGATACCTCTTGGGAGCCTCTGGGGTGGCACACTCTTGCATTTCCCACCCCGGCTCCCGCATGACGTGTTTGGCATGCAGGGACCCTTCTTGTTCAGTACGATGCCACCCCGCTTGTGGTTGCATCTCGGAATTTTCACCTTTTGTCCATTTTCCGCCCGACTCCCGCTTATGCAAGCGGCGGGCTTGCATCATGGCCTCCCTTGATGCAGCTTGAGTGCGGCCAGCCGTTAAAACATTCGACGTGGGCGCACTGCATTTGAATTGCATCAGCTTAGAAATGCTGCTAACTTCCTGAACTGAGTGCTACAGCTTCATGTTCATCGCTTTTCTTAGCTCGAGATGCGCTTTAAGCCCACTTTCTTGCCTCCTTGGGTCATGGCGAAACTTTCCCCTGAGTACGCCTTTACACTCCTCAAGACCATGACTGACGAGGAGAAAACCCGCTTCCTTAAGCAGCTGGAGAACGATCCGCTTCTCCCCGCATCCACTACGAGCTCATCTTCGGTGGAGGCACCCGCTGTGCAACCAGTCGCAGCACTTATGGCAGACCCCATAGGGGAAAACATCGCCGCCGAGGATTACAGCTTACCTTCAGTGGAGCCGGCTGCTTCACCGTCACCTCCGGCCAAAGCGGCACCCGCTTCTGTTACAGCGGACAAGCCCGAGGCCACCCACGACGACGGTGCACCCGCTTCCAGGACCCCTGCAGATGGCGACGGGGGCAACATCGTCACTGGTGGCGGAGGCGATGGTGTTGCCAACGCAAAACGTTGGCAACGGGAACCCGAGGTGAAAGAACCGCCGCCACGGCCGCCCTCTTCACCAAAGGCGAGTCCTTCAACACCGGCTCCGACTGGCCCTCCGCTTAAGGCCAAGAGTGTGGCATCACCTCCGAAGCCCGCTTCGGCTTCAGGTGCACCGGCCGCACCGACTCCCAGCGCCCCTCCTGCGGCCAAGGAGAAAGCTCCTCCACCTCCGCTTGCAGAAACTGGGGCCACCGACGGCAATGCGGGCACTGCAAGAGAGGCAACGCCCGCTTCTACTACGCCAACGCCCGCTTCGGCCACGGCTACGGCTACTCCGTCGGGCAACAGGGCCCCACTTCTGGCGAGCGAGGCCCCGGCGAGCCGCTTGGGGCACACCATCTACGACAGTGAGGGGAACCCCACACTTCAATTAGTCCAGCTTTGGGCATGCCGTAAGCAGTGCTCTCGCTTGGTCACTGCCAGGCTACCTTCAGCGACCGCTCCAACAGCTACCACACCACCCACTTATGCAGAGACTGCAAGCGGGCCCGTGGTAGAGAGCGTCAAGAAGCCGCTTCTCAATGGAGCCAGGGCTATGAAGAGTGGGGCCAGAACCAGTCCGGCTGGGATGATCAACCCGCTTGGGGATCCTGGAACTGGAGTGGCGGCAACTGGCAGCATCAATGATGCTTTTGCCCCCGCTCCATGCTTATGCCGGCTTTGGCATTGAATCGCCCACTTTTGGGCTTGCCCATATAGATCAAGGGCAGCCCCGCTTGGGCTTGTGGGTATAAAGCGCCCGGCTTCTCCGAAGCCAGACATACTCGAGCTCCGCTTCCCGCTTGAAAAAGCCAGCAGACCCACGTTCTGCATGCTTTGGAATAGTTCACGCTTTGAACTTGTGGCTTGCTTTTCACTCTTGTTTCCCGCTTGGATCAAGAAAGACTTCCGGGCCCCCCCCGGCTCTGGGTATCCCGCGCTCCCACGTTACAGGCCACAGATGCCCACTTGTCATCACCAGCAACATGTTTCCCTGCTGCAGGACCACTACGGGCAACGCTGCATCCTTAGCTTCAGTTCTTTGCTTTTTTTTGGTAATACGCGCACCTGCTTCAGGTCAAACGAAGATGTCTGACTTCACGCAGCTAGTGGCCGAATGCAATGTGCCAGCAGCTGTCGCCCCTTTGCTTTCAGCATTCGACGTTGCTTTGTTTGCCCGGTCCTGCACCACTTCGGCAGAGCTTGAAGAGTTGGTGAACCACTTTGTGGCGGAAGCCTCAGTTACCGATGCCGCTGAGCGCTTCATCACCAAAGCTTCGCTTCGCCTGCTCTTTTGCAAATGCCGAACGTCAGAGGGCATGGCATCCTTGGAAGCCGCTCCCACTCCCATCACACCGCTTGGCGACGGGCCTGCAGCTGCCAACCCGGCCCCCCCGGCCACGCCTCCGCTTTCCAGCTCCTGGCAAGAGGCTTGGCCTGCGCGTCTGAGTGGGGAGCGAACAGCGGCGCTTAGGAAGAGGTTCGAGGAGGACTACCCCACTGAACTTCTTGACACCGAGAGCTTTCCAAGCGCCCGCTTACTGGCCCTCACCAATAAGATGCTTTCCGACAAGGAGGTGCGATGGATTCCTTGGAAGTATCGCTTAAGCGCTCGCGCTCAAGAAGATAGTCTCCTTGTTCGGCCCAGGAAACAGGCCCGCTTTGACCTAACAGAGCTTTTTCTGGACGAGGCGCCTACACGTGACATACATGAAGGCCCCGCTTCATTTGGCCTCGTCACTCAGCTTCTGTCACTGGCGGCCAATTCCATTGCGCTCTGCCAAGGTGCACACCTTGGCTCCCTGAAGCTTTATAACAAACGCTTCATGAGGATCTGCTTCACGAAGTACGATGCCGCCGCCAGCTTACGAGGTCCCACTACTATGGAAGCCCAGGCCGCCGACCGCCGCTGTTGGGAAATCATCGCCGACTTAGTCAATGTTCACCACTGGAAGTTGGACGATGCGCTTCACGAAGTGGCTGAGGTGCGCTCTGACATGCACAGCCTGCTTGCACCGAGGCCCTTCATTCCCAAACCGAAATTCGACCCGGACAACAGCTGGAAGGCCCGCTTCAAAGGCAACGGTGGAGGCGGCAAAGGCGGTGGCCGCGGAGGCAAAGGCCGTGACGGCAAAGGCGAGAAGGGTGAGTGCTTTGAGAGAGGGGGCAAAGGTGGCAAGGGCAAGGACAACAAGCAAGCCACCCCCACCGGCAAGTGGCTTTCCACTCTCTTCATGGATGGCAAACGTCAGACGCTTTGCATGAGGTACCAGAGCGGGCAGTGCAAGGACCCGGCCACTTGCCGCTACTTGCACAGATGCGCAGTGCCTAAGAGTGACGGCACAGCTTGCGGAGGCAATCATCCAGCTTCGCACCATGTTTCCACCCCGCATTAGGAAACCCACTTCAGCGAGATGCGGGACATCGCTGAGGAGGTCACGACCGTCCCGCTTAGTGTGCCGGCCCAACCGTCAGGCTCTTCAGGGGCCACTTCGGCACTGCCCAAGGCACGTGCCCCAGTCTCCGATGCAGCATCGGCGCTCAGTGAAGGTTCTCTCGACTTCGCCACTTGCTTGGAGCTTCTAGCGCAGTACTTTTCCTTTCCCTTCACTTCTTCTTCTCACTGCCCTGACAATGCCATCGCTGCCTCTGAAGCATATTTCAATTTGGGGGCTTTCGCTTTTGACAATGGCGCCAGGTCGGGCATCTTTCAGCGTACCGAACAATTTTCAGACGTTCTTCGATTCTTGAACGCTTTTATGCAGCTTCAGTTCCCTGAAGCCTCCTGGAGCTCCCTCTGCGTCAGCCACAACGTTCGCACCCGCTTACACACAGACTCTGGCAACGCTGCAGGGTCTCTGAATCACACAGTTTCACTTGGCAACTTCAGCGGTGGCGAGGTTTGGCTTTGCCCCGCTTTGAACCAGGCGGCTTCTCAGGTACCAGCCCCCTTTGATGCCTCATCCGAGGCGCACAGTGCATCTGAAGCGGGTACAGGCGAGGTGCGCGACACTTGGCACGCGCCGCTTTCCTTCAGCTGTGAAGCACTTCACTGTACGCTTCCGATACAAGGAGACCGGTGGGTATTGACTGCCTACACTTGCAAGAGCCTAGACCGCTTTGATGCAACGTCACTGGCACACCTGAGGTCTCTGGGCTTCCCGCTCCCGTCGGCAACCCCATGCCACCCGCAGTCAATACATCCCTCGCTCAAGGACACGACATGCGTGGAGCTCTTCCTGGATATATGCTGTGGGGCCGCTCACCCACTTACCACGGCGATGTCTTCATGCGGAATCACTTGTCTGCCCATAGATCTACTGGGCGAGGAGCAACTCGACCTGCTCAACGATGACACCTACGACCACTTGCTTCGGCTGTGTTTTGCTGGGATTGTCCGCTTAGCTCACGGATCGCCTCCCTGCAAGGAGTACTCCCGCTTGAAGCTTCGTCCAGGTGGTCCTCCAGCCATTCGATCGCCGGATCACATGAATGGCCTTCCAGGGAACACCGCTTCGCAGCAAGCTAGAGTACACAGCAGCCAGAAGCTTCTATATCGCTGCGTATGCCTTCTGAGAGCAGCTTTTTGTTCAGGTGCGCATGTATCCCTGGAACAACCCACTAACGCTATGTCCTGGCTTGAGCCTTTTGTCCAGGACATGCTTTCCGAAATACAGGCCTCACTGGTCAACATCCCGGCATGTTCAGTGGGACAGGATATAGCAAAATCGTGGCTTTTTGCTTGCAGTTACAGCGAATTCCGCTTTCTTGCAAGCACATGTTCGCATGCAGGAGGCCACCAATCCGTCGCAGGAGCCAGGGACGAACACGGGAACTTTTTGTCCCAGAGGACGGCGGAGTACCCGTCCCAGCTTGCCGAGAAATTCTCAGCGAAGGCAGTGCACTTATTTTCTTCGGCATGACCTGCTTATTCGGTTGCGCCCTGCTCCTTGAAGTTCGCATTGGCCTCAGTTCCCAAAAAGCCGCGTTCATCAACGCCTACAGCCGCGCAGGATGGCGGGGGCATTTACTCTTTGCCCGACTGGTCACTTGGCCCAAGGTACCAGTCCGACAGCTTACACGACCTGCGGAAGGAATGGCAATCTTGGCTGCTTCAGAACAGAATTCCTCTCAGACTCCAGCAACACGTGGCCGAAGCCAGCAATAAACCGCTTTTCTCAAAGGAAGAAACGGAGTGGCTTCGTTCTTCTTTCAAGCGCTTTTCGGACGCTCACTCCCCGTGCCAGGACTGGAACTTCTCAGTGACAGAAGGCCAGCCCTACTGCTTGTCTGCACTGGAGCGCTTGAGTACCATGCTGGGTGACAAGGACACTTCCCTTTTCCCCGCTTTGCAGAAGGGCGTGCCCACGGGGTTCGACGGCGACATCCCTCGCAGCCACACACTCCGACCTCGTGATCCCAACAACTCAGACGAACCCACTGACCTGCTTGTTTGCGAAGGTAACTGGCAGGGGGCTGAGGCAGACCCGGCCCTGCTTCAGGAGTTGATCGAGGAGGAGGTTTCGGCCGGCTACATAGAGGAAGTTCCCAGCTTAGAGTCTGCTTACGAAAGGTGGGGCAAGGAACGTGTTGCGGTGGGCCGTGTGAACATTGTCAAAGCCCCCGGTCGCTCAGCCCGCTTGGTTATAGACAACAGCATCTGCAACACGAACCAGAACTGCCACGTGCCTGAACAGTTCTCCTTGCCCAGCCTCCAGGACATTCAGTCCGCTTACCCTCCGAGGGAGGACGAGGAGCCGGTTTCGGGTTTCAGCTTAGATGTGAAGGGAGCGCACAAAACTTCACTTGTGCGCGAGAAAGACAGAGGCCTGCTTGGACTGAGACAACAAGAACGCCTCTTTTTCTACCGTGTCTGTCCCTTCGGGGCCACTTTTTCTAGCCACTGGTTTGCCCGCTTAGGGGGCTTTTTCGTGCGCTGCCTTCACCTACTTATCTGGTTGTCACACGTCCTCATGCTGTACGTCGATGATTTGCTTCTCTGGCAAAATTCTCGTGCACTGCCGCTTAGCGCTTCTCTGGTCTTGGCATTCTGCGCCTGCTTCAATATACCGCTTAGTTGGCGGAAATTGCAGATGGGGCCGTCTATAACCTGGATAGGGTGGCAGATCGACTTCAAGGCTGGCTGTTACACTTTACCGGAGCTCAAACGCTTGAAGCTGCTTGGCCAGGTGGAGGAATGCCTTCGGCACCGACTTGTCAGCCGCAAACAGCTTGACAAACTGCTAGGTCTGCTTCAGTGGATTCTGCATGGTCTTCCGGCTTTACGCCCCTGGCTATGCACCCTGTATGATGACATGCATAGACCACTTGGTACCAATGTCAGCATCAGCCCAGTTGTTTGGCCAGGCATCCACTCTTACCTGGACGACAAGCTTCGCTTCACAGGTTGCCCCCCGGGCACGGGTATTTCACCTGGCTCAACGCTGCTTTCAGCTCGGCATAAGCCTCTTAAAAGTAAGGAAGACCTGGCTTTAGTCCCCGTAAGCACAAAGCGCATGTGGCTCCGAGTTACGGACCCCACTTCCTCCAAGCGGCGCTTATCTGAGTCCAGCAGAGAAACCCTTGCCTTCTTTGCCCACTTGAGGCAGATCCGCTTTCAAGTGACGCTTTTTCCCGCTGACACATTTCTGAAATGGCAGCTTCCGTCAGCTGACAGCTTGGGCCCGACAAACCGCGGTTCAAGGAAGCGCAGGTAGCTTCCTCACCTCACTTTTCTGCTTGGCCTTTTCACTACGTTTGCGAGGTTTCGGCTTGCCAGTTTCAGACCCGGGCTTTTGCGACTGCTCCGCTGCTTCAGCTTTTGCTTTACGATCTCGGACGGATCAAAGATCCGATCGAGATAGCCGACGTCTGAGCAGTCGCTTTACCGGCAAGCCGAAAAAAAGACAGTGTGCATACCTTCTTGCATGTTCCAGCTTTTGCCAGCTTTTGCTTCGCACAGCATTCCTCGCAGTAGCCTTTTGGTGTTGCGTGGTGTAGTAATGTCCTGAACTGCTCAAGGCACACGCCGGCTATGCCCGAGATTACCTCATGCCGTGGCTGGGAAGGGGAGGGCAGCTAGAGCAGAAGATCGCTACCTATGTGGACGCTATGGTAGCCGCAGCCGGGCTGCTAGCAATCATGGGCTACCCTCCCGAGTCCAAGGCTACTGGACCGAGCACAGCGAGTGCTCGGTGCTACCCGAAGGGTCCGACGTGTACGCTACCGTCTCCAGGCCCTTTTCGCTAAAACGGTTAGAGGGGAGGATCACTTACGATGCGCTAGATGAGCGTGAGATCGCTGCCGATCTTGAGCTCTGGCTAGGGGAGAGGGCTCCGCAGGTGGCCGAGCTAGAGGTTTTTATGGGACCGGCCGGAGGAACCGCTAGCGGCCGGGAGCAGATCCGAGGCCTCGGCCGAACTGGAACGGCCCGCTAAGAAGCAGGCCAAGGTTCCTGACCGCAGCCAGGACAGCTATGTAATCGTAGAGGTCCCGGTGAGCCAAAGAATAGCTGTTTTCGCCTGATCCCAGCCGTGGGCTGACACTATGGGTGTGAAAGGGAAGGACGTTCCCGCTACTGGCCAGGGGAGGGGGCCTGGAGATGCCGGCGATGCCCCGTAGCGTACGGGCGACGGCCCCGCTAATCGGCGCTAAGGTTTCCTCACCATCCGCCTCGCTAAGGGAACCCCGATCTCCTGGAAAGGGCAACGTTTGCGAAGAGGAACAGCGTTTGTTTTGTAGTGAAAAAGGAACTGCAGCGTGTTTACTGTTTGTCAAGGAAAGTCGGAGTCACCTCAGTCGAGGAACTTTCGTTAACTCCGAAGGCGGGATGTTAAACATTCTGCCAGGAACAGTAACGCCGCTAGTGCAGTGTAGTTAATGTACAGGAACAGCCGGACTCACGCCCGTGACGTGCAGGCTCGAGACCCAGCGGACACAGCGACCTCACAAGGAAAAGTGACCGCTTCAGTTTGAGTGTAGGAAACCGTAGTGAAGCCTGTTCTTTAACAGAATGAAGTTCTCGGATTCAATCGAATGTAGCATCAGCCGACTGTCTGCAATGATCACTTGTACAGTGCAACCCGGCCTCCGAATGCCGTTTTGTTGCGACTCGAATGTCATCCCGAGTCGAGCCAAAAGTCCGGAATGAGACCAATGATCCTTTCGCTGCTTTGATTGGTGACTGTTCTAATTGTTTCTTTTGATCGCTTCGCGAATGCCACCACCAATGCTGGTTTGTTTGTTTTGGAATGATCTTCGAGTGAAGTCAAGATCAAGGGACTGTGTTAGATGACACGAGCCCAATGATGCACCTTAATGTCATGATGCATTTACGAATGCTACAATGCCGAATGGCATTGGCTCAAGACGGGATCAAGGCTTGACGTTACAAAGGATTGTCTGCGTATGTGTGACTGGGGAAAGTGATTGATCTTGGTGTCCCGCTAGGACTGATTTGTGCTGTTAAGTTTTTCGCTCTTTATCTCTCTTTCTCTCTCCTTATCACTTTTCCTTTATTTTTTTCCCCACCCTCGGTCTGGGGTTGTTAGATTTTAAAGTCAGTTATTACTTAATACTCTTCGCCCGCTGAGATTCCCTCTTGGAGTACCTAACCCCACAGACTACCGTGAGAATACCGTGAGAATCCGTGGAGTGCCCAACCCCACAGACTACCGTGACCCCAACCCCACAGACTACCGTGAGAATCCTTGGAGTGCCCAACCCCACAGACTACCGTGAGAATCCTTGGAGTGCCCAACCCCACAGACTACCGTGAGAATCCCTGGAGTGCCCAACCCCACAGACTACCGTGAGAATCCGTGGAGTGCTCGGGAACACCAGGGTTGAAGGGTTAGGCTCGGGTTCTTTAAGTCTTAGGATTTGCGTGTAGGAAGGACAAGCCGCTAGGGTGGGGATGTTCGAAGTAAAAAATATTTTTTCTCTCTCTCTCTCTCTCCGTTTCTTCTTGCCACCTGTTTTGCCGTGAATCAGGTGAAAGAGCGGCGCCAGCGGATGGATGAAGATCCCGTAGAGTACGAGGCCCGAGCCTGACCGTTAAATTGTTTTGTGGATCCATGACTGGTGCGACTTTGCCAGGAGCGGGTGGACCGCTTCTCCATGTTCTTGCAAAAATCCATGGTTGCCGAAGTGTCACAGGCACGGGGTTGGAAACAAAGCGTTCTGCACGCCCACTCATTTCTTGATTTGTTGGGGTCCGACAAGGTGGGTGATGAACGACCACTGACACAGGGGAAATTCTCACCTGATGCTTCGCTTTTCTGCACTTCTTCGTGGCCGGATGCGTAGCGAGGGAAGGAGGGAGGGAGCAGCGGGCGCAGAAGCTGATGCCGAGGTCCGGCTTCATCAAGCTCTGGAAGACGCCTTCGTGCGATCCCGTCCTTACCATCCGCGTTGGCGAAGACAGGCACCAATCTGTGTGCATTGCAGCGGAGGCGAAACGCAATCATGCCTGAGCTTGGTCGAAGTTTGTGATTTCAACCGATGTGCTGTGCCTGAAAAAGCTGTCTTCCAATGTCTGGGGCTGGTTGCTCGGGCACAACTAGGCAGCCGAGTCACCTCCGTCAGCGACCAGCAAAGCCTCTGGTATCAGGTGCAACAGCGTGGCATGGCACCCAAGTTGCAAAGGCACGCCTCCATTCGATTGTCTTGCGCCTGGCTTTGAGAATCAGAGGCAGCCACGGCCCACGGCATGCTAAAGCCACAGCAAACTCGGAGCCAAGGCAACACGGTCCGCCTTGCTTCAGCTTCAGCAGACTCCAGGCTGGAGTCCTGAGTGGCATTGAGCTTCTTGTGCTGTCCCAGCCTAAGGATCAGCCTTTGGTCCTTGTCCGACAGCCAGCCGGTCAACGTGCTCGAGGGCCACGAGGATCTTGAAGCGAGAGTGTGCAGTTGTGTCACAGTGTTGGCATTTCGTTTCAGGACCGAGTCAACAGAGTGGTGCTGGATGCTCAGCGTGCAGTGCATCTGGCTGTTCCGCACATGCCGTGCCACGCAGGTTTCACCCGATGGGCGAGCATGTGATTTCCACATCGCATGTGCCATGGCTTAGCAAGCCTAGCTGTTGTCCTAGCATGCGCCAGCCGATTGCACCTAGGATATGAGCTGGCGCTTGTGGGATGTCGAGACTACCACGGAGCTGCTGCTGCAGGATGAACTTAGCAAAGCTCACCGTGGGAATTTCGAAAAGCTTGCCTGAGAATGTCTTGGAGGAAGGTCACTCACGACCCGTCTATGGCTGCTCTGTGCACCCCGATGGCTCTCTTGTGGCGACCAGCGACTTAGGCGGTGTTGTACGGGTGAAGATCCTCAGATCCTCAGAACTTCTGATTCCGACGTGCGTCGTCCAGTCGCATGACTTTGCCTAAGGTTTGGGACCTGCGAAGTGGCAAGACCGTTATGCCTCTTGCAGCACATGGCAAGCAGGCCTCGGCAAGACTGATGTGAATATGCGAGAGCGGATGGTCACGGGTTGTGAGGTGCTTGCGGTCGACTTCCATCCGCGTGGCACCATCCTTGCAACAGCCAGCGACGATCACAGCATGCGTGTCTGGGATCTGCGGAAGAGGAGGCGCAGCACAGCTCGCAGCAGCAAGAATGATGCCTGGGATCCACAATTTTTTCCGCTGGGAGGTGCACTCACAACCTGCTGCTCCACAACAAACTCATCTCAGAGGCAAAGCATCGTCGGCATCGTGACTTCGAGCGGCATCTTCTTTTGGCAACCTGTGCGTTAGGTGAGCTTTGAGAAGGGAGAAGGGCGCCTGGTCCTGACCTCCAGCTACGACGGCACGGTGAAGATCTGCTCCACCACAGACTGGAAAGTCGTGAAGGCGTCCAGTCTGGAGCGAGGGCTCGCTGCAAACCTTCAACGATCCTGTCCGATCCTCCGCAGAAAGGATTTGATTAGGGATAAGTAGCCGCGGCAAACAGCTCCTCAATCTTCCTGGTTGCCGTGCCTTGACGGCGGATGTCGAAGCGTCGCAATGCTCGTCTTTTCGACGACAGTCGGATCGTCGCAGTGCCCAAAACCTCGCGCGCGCGCGCGGCGGCTTCGGATGCCGGGGGTCCTCGACGCCTCGATGTGTCTTGAGGTGACCGTATCGGCCGAGACTTTTCGTGGAGGCGTGGTGTGCTGTGCCTTGCAGAGCGCAAAGACCTTGGGCGCACCATGCGGTCCCAAGGGCGAAAGGCCTGTCAAGCGTGCATGAAGTCGGCACGCACCGCCGAAAGTCGCATCAATCCCGCGTTACCTTGCAGAAACGTGTTGTCAACCCATACAATCCGCTACTGTGGGAGAGCGTGCATGCTTGCTTCTGCAGTGTCACCTTGTGGAAACGTGTTGTCAAACCCTACAATCCACTACTATGATAACATCTTGTATGCACTGCTACTATTGTGCATTGCAGAAAGTGGTAATACTAACAACCATGTGTTTGCCAGAGGCAGGGTTCCCTCCTGACATCTTGGTCCGACGAGCTGTGGCTCGAGGGGGTCCCAGGAACCACTCGGGCTTCGTGCCCAGTGAGGCCTTGGTGACTCCAAGCAAGGACAAGATACGTTTTCTCGAGCCATGGCTGCAGCGGTGGACCTGAAGCAGCTCAACGGTGCCCATGCACTCACATGAGTGGGGCTCGAGGCTGGTGCGTGGACCACCGTTGATGGGGCTCTGGGCACTGTTCCCAGTCTTCGGATTTTGGGGACCCGGCAGCTGAAGGAGCGGCTCCCTTACCGGACACAGCGAAGCGGAAGGCAGCATTTTGGACCATAGGCCGACAAGGCCGAAGTGCCGGAGCTCAAGCAGACAGAGCCGGATGGCCACTTCAAAGTGCTGGAGAAATACAACGGTGTGCCGGTCCGCCCAGAGAGACCGAGCCATCGCCTGACCAGGTTTCGTCTTTGAAGGTCAGGCTGATGGACTTGGACTTGTCTCCGTAGGCGGACTTTGCCGTGTTTATGAATGTCCAGCACCGCTTCGGGGGTGCATCCTCCAGCCGGACGGGAGCTCCCGCACGGTGCAGGTCCCAGGACTACGACTCTTGGCTGGCTCCCTGGAGCGTCTTCGAGAACGCCCTGCTGATGTTCGAGCTTAAGGACTCGGCCCGCACTGCCTTCGTGTTTGACGTGATCCTTGTCGACGGAAAAAGCAGATTTCGGACGTGATCCTTGCCGGCTCTGCGTCAGTACGGTTGAGCAAAGGTCCTGCAAAGAGCGCACACATCGTCCGTCGTGAGGTGGAGGACCCTCCTAGCTTAGCTTGCATGAAACGTACATGAGTCGAAGCCAGGCTCCCGGCCAGCGTCTCGACTCCAACCTCATCTGGTGCAATTCCCGACCCGGTGCCCGGAGGGCACCCGGGTCCGGCCACCTTCGAGCGAAGCTCGTGACGCGGAGCCCCACAGAGAGAAAGAAGAGAGTAGCATCTTGCATGCATTGTTTGTACAGTGTCACCCTGCGGAAACGTATTGTCAACCCAAACTGTGGTAGCATCTTGCGTGCTTGTTTGTGCAGCGTCACCCTGCAGTCAAGCCATACAATCCACTGTGATTTTTGTCCAAACAAGATTGCTCCGCGTGGAATCGGGCGTCTACATGGGGACAGGCCGCTTTTCATGTGTTGTGATGCCACTGATCTGTGTCTGGAGTTGCCTGGACAATCGAGCCGCTGCATTTCTAAATGGCTGGTTTCGATGTGATGCGGTATGTACGGACGATCACTTATGTGACCTTATGCAGGTTTTCATGTGTTGTGATTTCACTATATTGTGTGTCTCGAGCGCAATTGTCCAGAATGTTTGTTTTTTTGATGCGTTTTGATGCCATTGATGTGCGTCTCGAGCGGGTGCTTGTATTGGGCGTCCACCATGGGAATGGCTGGTTTCGATGTATTGTGATGCGAGGGATGTGTTGTGTCGAGCAGGTGGTTGTTAATTTCTCAGCTTATCATGTGGCCCTTGTTGATTATATGTCCAGCTCATCCGAACCAGTCTCGGTCGCACTGTTTGGCGCTGGGTACATATATGCACATACACACGCATAGGGAATGGCTGGTTTGAACATGTCTATTACTGTTCTGAAAGGATGGTGTCTCGCAAGCATGCTTGTGAAATCGAGCGTCTACTTGGGGGAATAATTTGTGTGGATGCGCTGTCATGTGATGCCACTGATGCATGTCTCGCATGTGAATTTGAGCACCCACATGGGGAATGGCTTGTTTGGAGTTTGGAAGTGCTATGAGGGCTATGATATAGTATTTGTCGCGTTTGCTTGTGAATTCGAGCGATGCCATGTCATATCGCGCGTCACCTTGGTGATTGCGCGAGCTTTTTGTAGGCTACAGCAGGTTTTAGGCCACGGTAGCTGTACAGTGTAAAGAGTAAGGTGGTTTGAGCCAACAGGGTTTAAACGTCTTGCGACCACCGCAGCCCTCTTTGTTGAGTGTAGAAAAAGAGCCCAATCCGCTAGCCCGCTTCCGCGTATGGTAACGGAGCTGGATCGGTAAGCCCCGACTTCTGGAAGCGGTGAGCGGGCCGATCCGCCTGGTGGGAATGGGACCAGGAATCCCGAGGGAGGTTCCTGAGCCCGCAGCCCCAACTGCAGCTCCGAGGCACCCCTTGATCGGGGAGCGCACACCCGTCTCGGTTGTTCGGGGTAGAGCGAGCTAAAGGGCCAGTTCGCCCACGAAGGGCAAACGCAAACGGGCCGAGGGCAGGCCTGCCAAGGGAGCCGGGCCAAAAGGGCAAGCCGGCAGAAGCAGGGAAGTGTCTTCACAAGAACGAACATGCTATGCTATGCACCAGTTCGTACTGAGCCGCAGTGAGTAAGATTTGATCATGTGCAAATAGATCCCTCCAACCCCAACCTTCGCTCGCGATTGCAACAGGAATTCTTTTGAACTTTGTTGTTGACACGTATGTCTACATAACATATCCGCTTGTTTGGGCTTGCAAAAGCACTTGCTTTATGTGAGACCAAAGCATGTGTGCACCAATGCGTGTGATAGTCCAAGACCATAGTCAAAAAAGATTTGTCTTCTGTTTGAAATTTTGGTGCCTCAAGCCCCTAGACCTTGCAGAGCGCTTTCAGCAATGACATGTAACAGTCATGACCTGGCCACTGCAGTCATTTCATAGATGTATACTCCGTCTCAAAGTTGGCTCAATGGTTTTCACAGCCTCAACCTAGCCCCCTCCTCAGCGAGACGTACAAAAACCAGCTTGCAGTTGCCTGTGTTAGGCAATCCATTAGGTCTATAAATTACTTGAATACTCCCACTGGAGTGGGGGAGCTTTGGGGCAAGGGGAGAGCAGCAGGGGGCGGCAGGGGGAGACAATTCCAATTAAGGACAGGGGGTTCGCCCACCAAACATTACCAAGGGCGGGGGGACGGAGTCGTCCGTTTTTTCTAGTGATTCCGGTGATTTCCCCAAAGACGTTGCAGCGACCAGGGAATAGCCCCCAAAGCGGCCCAGGTTAAACACACCTACCAGAGCGAATACTCCTAGGGCCGGGCCTTATTTTGGAACCGTGATGATGATTCGCGACGCAGTTCGACATAGAAGGAACTAAACTGCGACGCGAAATGTGCCTATTCTCCCGACAAGACTTACCTGGCGGCATCGCTTGAAAACAAAGGATGTAAGTATGATTCCGCCAGATATTGTGGGTAAAGCATGACAGAAAAGAAGGGTAATGCGGTCAAGTTGCTGCAGTAGGCCTTGGAGGTTGTGTTTCTTTCATTTGTTGGACCTACCAGCGGCTGCTGGCAGCGCCCTCCTCGAAAGTATGCTTCGTAGCATCGCCTCTTAGAAACGACTGATAGTTTCTATCGGCCACAGCGAAGCTTGGCGCTTCAGCATCTTCTTGGCATGGAAACAACGGTGGTTACAGGGGTCGTGCAGGCTCTGCATCAACAATCCTGCAGCAGAAAACAAAAAATGTAAGTTGTGAAGACTTCTCGCCAGCATGCATGCGCAGGTACTCATTGGTCACGAGGGCCGGGTTATGGGTGCCGACCATATCCCTGCAGCAGTAGGTGGTGGCCGCCTCAGCCCAAAGCTGACAAAAAGCTGCAACAAAGCATCGTGAGCATCGTGCAGGTGTTCAGACCTAGTTCTCGTTCCCCCGTTTCTCAGGCCACCACTACATCGGCTCCGTGGCTTTCGACCGGACCCTGAAATTTTGGTCCACGCAGGACAGTCTGTAACAGTGTAACGTGGTCCCATGCCTCTGGCTTTCAGACGTTATCCGCCAGGGCAAGGCCGAGCCTCCTGTCGATGCCACTGCCTTCATGACCTGAGAGCTGTATAACAAGATGGAATCACATCGGTAGATGCGGAGCAGACGTGCGTCTAGTGGAAAATCGAGGCAAGTTCGCAAGCTGCAGGGTCAATTGTCATGGAAAGATAGTGACCGACAAGATACCATCATGCTGTAGCGTTGAAGTGCGTCGACATGCAAGATTTTGCGACGTGACAGCAACATGCGCGCTTTGTGGGCATGTGATGTGTCGAGCCCGAATGACCCACCATTGCCCTGTGGCATAGACCAGGGCTCAGTACTGACGAGTGTGTCATGACGCTAAGACATTAGACGAGCATGGTGTAGTCCCATCAGACTAGACGCGAAGTTGAATTCATATCTGCTAATGTGCGGAACGTCATGGTGCCAAATCATTAACGTAGTGTTGCGTATCAACCTTCCAGCTTGGTGGGCGATAACGCATATTGGGATACATGACATGGCAGACCTTGACTGTCGCCTGCTTGTCACAATACAGAACCCGGGCATGTCGTGACATGTTGCAAATGACCTCACCTGACTGAAGTGCCCGGACAACGATTTGCGGTCTTTGCAGCTGTTAGCATCGATCCACATGCGGTAACTCGTATTGCAGTATATCTTGCCTCGGCCAAACTCTGACTACATCATACTACATCTCGAGGTGTGTGTGTGTGTGTGTGTGTGTGTGTTTGTGCGTGCGTGCGTGCGTGCGTGCGTGCGTGGGTGTGTGTGTGTGTGTGTGTGTGTGTGTGTGTGTGTGTGTGTGTGTGTGTGTCTGGGTGCGCGGCGTGCGCAGATTTTGCATAGCCCGCTGTGTTCAAGCCCGTACAGGAGTCACGTAACCTCGATTACTATTCCTTCACGGAGCGATTATGTTCGATTCTTGACATCCTCATTTCTGATCAGCAGTTGCGAGCTTTTGCTTGCCGGTTGTGCTATCACATATACATGGCACAATGGCATGCGCATGCATCCGCGATCTGCGCCTCCGAGAGCCTGCCTTGAAGCAACACGACCGATACCGACATTAGGAAGCTGGCATATCACTCAACAAGGACGCCAATGCACAGGGAGCGGTTCATGGTGAGCTAAACAGAGCGAATCGAGCCTTCAGTCTTTCCGTGCGAGTTCTCGAATTCGAAGAGCAGAGTTGTTTGCAGGCTTCAAAACGCGCATCTTGCGAACATCAACGCATGCGTTCTGTCAACGTACGAGGCGTGCTGAGCCTGTATCTTGCTATGCCCCGCGACTGTAATAACAGTCGGCCTGTCAAGATGAAAGCACTCTTGCTACTGCTTGAAGCCGGAAGCCCCTCTTCCGTCAGCGCCCTTTGCACTACGCCAGCGAGGGCTCCAGAACCGCGGGGCGGGAAGCGTGGCCGGCGGTTCTTTCGTCTGCGCCGCGGCTTGCCGGGCCGCGGGTCCCTGCAAGCCATGGCAAGAGGCCATGCGGCCCTCGCCGGGCAGCCAGGCAAGAGCCGGTGTACTTTTAGTGCTCTTGCAGAGGCGGCGGGCTTCTGGGCACTCTCATTGCCATTGCGCTTGGCTTGGCGCTGTGGCTCGGCTTGCCTCAGCCTCCGCCTCCCTGTCCCTTGCTCTGCGCTGCCGCATTTCTGCCGTTGCAGGTTGATGGTGGCCCAGCAGTTTTCAGCTAAGACATAGAGAGGACTGTCATGTTTACCTGTCGTTTTGCCTTTTGCTGTCAGGTGCTTCTTGACAGCGACACCGACACCACCCTCAGGGAATGCCCAGCCGCGACATGCGCAAAGCAGGGCCCGGGCCCCTCCGCTGCATCTGCCACCGAGCCGGTTTCGGAACGAGAGCAGAACTGTCTCTGCTTGTGCTTGTGTCTTCGCAACAAGGTCGACCTGCAAATCCACAATGCGCCGATGCTGCCCCTGGAAGGTGGAGTTGTCTCAGTGCTCTCGGTTTGGCGGCGTGTACTTCGTGCTGCTTCGCACTGTCTTGCTTTGCAGGTGATTTTGCAGCTGGTTCCCTTTTCGCTGGTTCAGAAGTTCTCTCTCTGGAGGGCGCTGACCGGGACGTCAATGTGCTGCCCACAGCTTACAACTGCAGGGCTTTGGTGTGCACACCCTCCGATGAGGTTGCAATGTTCAACAAGAAGCGCACGAAACGAGGACATGTGGGGCGGTCTCTGTAAGCCAGCCGTGCTCTAATGGCAGCGACCTGCGCAGACCGAAGTGAGGGTTGGACGCTGCGGAAGAAGTTTCGCAGTTGCTGGATTCCTGGCGCCTGCAGTGCACAGTGCACAGCCCGTCCAGTGAGACTTGTGCTGTCACTGATTGCCACTGTGTCACGAGATGTCGCGAGTTTCAGGCTCCCTCCTGGCTCGCGCTGCCACCGCGAAGGGCCGGAAGGAACGGTGTCGTCGGAAGTTCTCGAACGCTTCGACTCTGACGTTTGGCCCAGATTCTGAAGAAGCGCATGTGGCGTGGCAAGAAAGTGCTGGCACCGGGCGACTACTGCAACTACAAGATGCAGAGAGCCGCACTCCAAGCAATGTGGAGCGCCAGTTCATCTGTTCGCTTTATCTTCCGCCCGAGGTGAAGAGCTTGCGCTGAGCCGCTGAGCCGCTGAGGCCCAAGCCGGGCACAAAGGGCATGGTGCTCTGTTTCTGTCTCAGGCAGCGGTGGAACCTCCGGAACCCTCCGAGATCTTCGCTGTAACAGCAAGAAAAGCGGCAAAGTGGGAGAAGATGGTAGGTGCCAGCATGTGCCAGCATGCGCACACAGCACTCTGCTGCTCTGCTCCGCGTTGCTTTAGCTCTCGCTCTGTTTCGGCTCGCAGGGTCGGGACTCGGCGTTGGGTCCCCCCCGTGGCTTTGGTAGCGAACTCCTCCATTTCCGAAGGTCCTCTGGTGCCTCGGCCGCCTCGGCTCGGGGCCTCAGGGCCTCAGCAGGGCCTTTCTGGCGCGTTTGGGCGAAGCGGCTTGAGAGCCGAGGTGAAATGAGGTCACAAAGATCCTCCATGCCTGGGAATTACCTCTCCAGGCACCTGACTGCACCAGATTTCAGCACATGTGCAGGCTCGCTTTACATTGCTGGCCCCACCACACTGAAGAGCAAAGCAGCAAGAGTAGCAGCAGCAGCTTGGAGGAGGAGCAGGAGGAGCAGGAGCAGCCAGGAGCAGCCAGGAGCAGCCAGCGGCAGCGGCAGCAGCAGAAGTAGCAGTATGGTAAAATAGGGCGACAGTCTCGGGCAGTTTACTTGAGATAACTCAGACATGAGCCTCAACTGAAGCTGGCTTAGCTACAGCTCGCGAGTCTAGTACGCGCGTGGCCCAAGCACGGCCTGATACGGCCTGTATGGATGTGCTTACAACTATCGCCAAAGGAGGCGGCTCTGGATCGTGCCGCCTAGGCCCACTGCGGATCACCTGACCAACAGTACACTACAACGCCTGTGGCACCAGCGTTGCCGCAGCAGACGGGAGCACGTGTCATGCCAACGACAGCAGCAGGACAACCTTTGCAGCAGTCTAGCATTGTTCCGGTGGCGCCAACACTGTCTCCGCAGACTGGAAGTCTTGTCATGCAAATGACCGCAACAGGAGCACCTGTGCAGCATGACGTAACAATGCCCTAGACTTGCCGACTTTCCCGTTGCATGGCTCAAGAAGGAAAACAAGTGCGATTTGGTGGGTCCCTGGGTTGCTGCACTAACTACAGGTTATCAGCCGTAGTTTAGGCGAACCATCTTCAGGTTCCTCCGCAACTCCTCCTGCAGGTCAGTCCGGAATGGAGGAAACCCCAGCCCTTTGTGTCAGATGGTGTTTTTGGTGTTTGTTTGACAACAGCGGCTGACGGTGAAGTTCTTCCCATCATGGTACATGAAATGCGCTCCGAATGACCATCTGGCAGTAGTCAATCTTCGTTCTACCGAAATCATCGGGTCACCATCTGATTTTTTGCTACGAGAACGAATGCCTACCATGCTAGGATATTCTCTCTCTCAATCTCCGGTAGCAATACCTGGACCATTGGCCGAAGCTGTAGATTCCCATGCATTGCCTGGACTATGAACACCCGAAACTGGGGCACCACCGTGAGGTGAGCCTGACTGTGCGGCGGAGCTCTCACTAGGGTTTGCGGTGGGCTATTCAGCTCAGTCATGAAAATAAACCTTTGTGAGTTGACCTCAACTAGAAGCTCCGCATTCCGATCCTCAAGATCAACAATCAAGATGTCGCACCGATGTTCCTGAGAGGTACGATGATAGTGATGGTGGTATTCGTCTTCCTCCCCCTGAAGCTTCTCCTCAAATTCATAACCCACGTGCCGCGAAATCGGAGTGTTGTGCACCAAGTTGCAAGGCCAACAGTCGTTTTTCATGACATTCTTGCTCCCTGCGTGCTAGCTACATCTGCAAACACTCCTATGCCCATCCGTATCCCCTACTCTACTGCTGCCATGAACCGTACGATGTCCATTGCAAAGAGCTAACTACGGCTGATAACCTGAAGTTTCACAGGCACACAGCTACACGAGGTCAATCTACCGTTAAGTCAACCCTGTGGTGTCTTTTACAGGCGGGGACTTGATCCCCTATGCGGTCGAGTAAGAGAGCTTCTCAGGACAACAAGGTTTCAGACGGATCATTGAGGTTGAATTTCGGGATGTTCAAGGAACTATCGTGAAGATTGAATAAGTGTTCTTGATTTCTTCGGTTGTTCACCTTTTCTGGGCAATAGGAAAACTTTTGAGGAACGGCTGGGAGTTCAGAGCCGGAACAGCTACAGGAACATTCCTAACTGAAGGAACAAGATTGCAGTGAACTACAACAACAGTTTTCTTGCGACTAAGGCGTATGTTCGAGCAGCGAATTGGGAAGTTGAAACCAAGCCTATTACCATCTACTTGTGCGAGAACCTCAAGGAACTTGTTGACGAACTGCGTGCTAGTTGGACAAACTGGAGAGACACGTCACAGCCTAGAAATTTCATAACATGTAGACACGTACCTGCTCTTCCCTCCAGGAAAGTTTGCTTACACTTGTCAGTACTTGTTGCATCACAGTGTCATGTTTGAGGAACTTGAGGAACTTTTTGGCGCAATGATTGGTGGCAGCAAGGAATACCGGACGTTGACGTTGGTTTCCTTTACGGAGTTTCCGCTGAACCTCATAGGAACACCTAAGGCAGATGCAGATAGGCGCATGTTTGAGGGTACTCTGAGGACACTTGGTCTATCAGTTTGGAAGGAACTCATTAGGTACCACGATTCTCTTAGGAAAACTTTGTTCCAATCCTCGAGATACCAACGACATCCTTGTGGAGATCACGAACCTGAAGCCAAATAAGTACACCCAATGTGAAGAACCAATCTCCAAGGATTTCTTTGAGAACGATAAGTTTTGGACGTTGGATAAGGCTCACAAAGACCCTGAACCTTTAGGAAACTTGTCGTGGACAGGACACAGCAGATTTGAGCTCATGAACCTGTGAACCCAAAGGCCAGGAAGACAAAACAGAAGGTACACCAGCTTGATACGATTCGAGAAGGTCAAAAAGAAGAGCTTGAAGGCTCAGAGGCCCAAGCACCGGCACAGCGTCATGAACTTGCAGGAGAACTATCATTCACTGTTGACGGTCGCGAGTACAATCAACAGAGCAATTTGAAGACCTTCAGAGAACTGTGCAATGAACTTGGAATCCGTTGGGAACATGATCTGTATCCTTACAGCCTCCAAAGGAAAGCATCTTGTAGAGCATCTTTGCGAAGGTGTAACGTACTTGAGCATTCAACTGCAGCACGTATTAGAAATTTCAAGGCCGACAACGAAGGAGTACTGATGAAGCTGGAGCAGGTCATTCAGAAACAGCGAGCCTCTTTTGGCCTAGGAACAGTTTTGCAGGACCCTGTATCGGGCCAGAAGGAAAGAAACGGTATGGCGGAGAGACGCACAGGAACATACATAGCGCACACTCGCCCCATCTTCAATTGGGCATTCAGGCACGCAGCCTGGACCTTGAATAGGTACCATCGGCACTCAGGAACTGGGATGCCGCCCTACGATTGGATCGCTGGGCGACCTTACGAGGGTCAACTAGCAGAGTTTGGTGAACCCTTAATGGTTTTTGACCAATCGTTCAGAAACTAAAGCGAACAGGAAAGGAGATCCAATGAAAGACTGAGATTTTTTTATCACTTGGCACATGGACGGAATCAAGACCGGTAGGCAATAAACGGTGTACTGAGCATTTTGACGTGAGTGGCATCAGCAGTGTAGGAATACACACTGGGAAGTCAAGCACACTGCTCTTACTAAAAGAACAATTCCCAGGAAGAACCTTCCAAGACCAGTTGCAGAGGCACCACCTGTCATGGATGGAGAAGTCAGCCAGGACGAAGCAGTTCAGCACCACCTGCAGGACGTACCTGAAAACAAAGCCCGACAGCAACAAGTACGACACAAGCGAAAAGCTGAATAAAAACTTGATCAGGAATATCTTGGCACAAACCAAGATGGAAGCAGGAACAGATCCGTCGTCATCGAGCAGCCTTCGGGAAATGGAAGCAGGTGCGACAGTGTGCATGGCTGTTCTCACAGGTACTGGCGGCGGGCCTTAGAAAGGGCTAACTGCGTGGTCCACCTGTGCTCGGCAGATCCTTGCCGCCCCTGAAGCTGCCGAGCTCCACATACACGCAAACAGTGTTGCCCCGCAACATGTCGATGCTGACCCCAATGAGCTTGCGGGACTGCCGAGCCCTTTTCGCTTTCAGGTTCATGGCTCTTCAAGGTATTGTGAGCCTAGGAGGCTGGGTTAAATCGGCCTGTGTTATAGGGTGTGCTGCTGCACCAAGCCCAAGGCCTCGAGGGGCGCTCCGCGCCCGGGGCGAGAGGAAGCTGCTACCCCAAGGCATGATCTCTTTGAGAAAAAGTCTGAGGAGGAGGAGGAGGACAATCCTTGCCAGGCTGACGCTATAGGATGGAAGGAGGGTTCAAGCGCCTGAGTAAAGAGGGGTGTAATGATGCCGTGTGGGTGGGTGTGCTTGTTGGGGGTAGCAGCTCCGGTGAACTTGCCTGGGAAGGGCTCCAAGCCAGCTGTCAGTTCTGTGCTACAAGGAGAACTATGAGCTTTCCAAAGTCAGGCGAGCATGCTCTGTGGAGGATTGCGACAAAATGGCACAGAGGCGTTAAACTTTGCAGGTTCCAGTAAGGAAGTCCAGCAAAAGTCTGGGCCATGGAGCTCTCGCTCTCGGCTGCCAGCGGACCTTGACACGAAAAGGACGTCAAGCCCTGGCGCGTCCCGCGCCCGGCCACAGTCGCAAGATGCGACTCCCAAGCACCACCAATAGGGCCGAACTTGTGAAGTGAGAGGCATTTCCTCTCCTCCACGCCTCGACCATACGCCTCACACTTCGAGCACCCGTTTTCCCGATAAGCTCCCTGTCGAAGACAAGGTCCTGTCGGGTCTCTCACGTGGGAGGAAGTCGCCGGAATTCCAAACGACGTCAAAGGGCCCCCACGCGAGCTTACTCCCAAACGGGAGAGTGTCGGGAGCAAGATGAGGGCCACTTGTCAGGTTACTGTGGGGCACGCAAGTGTCAAATGCCTCCTGATGTCCCCGGCCACTTCTCAACATGTATGGGAGCTGGCACAAGCAACTCCGAGGTGCTCCCAGACTCGTGGGCCGCTTCGATCCCGGGAACTGGCGCAGGAACCAACCCTTCTGTGCGCCACGGTGGTGCCCAGACCTCCGCGCGCTGAGAGCTCCGAGGACGCAGGCAGGCCCTGGAGATGTGACCCGACCAGGGCCTTTGGGGTGGGGCGTACACTGATAAGCATTCAAAAAGCCTCACCTCCAAAGAGGACTCATTGGTGCAGGAGCGAGGCAAGCTGGCCTCCATAGGCAGGCTGGAGGAGCGGCTCGTTTTCCTCCTGCATGGCTGCGACACCCTCAAGGCTGTGGGAAAGGAGCTGTTTCATGCGCTTCGCGTTGCCGGTACGCAGGCACGCCCTCAGCTCCGTCAGATCGAGTTCCCATGCAACACACCAGACCTTAAACTCGAAAAGAAGGGAAGGTACCCCAACACGCTGACGGCCTGGTTTAGGTCAGCATTGCGGAAAGCCTGGGCGTTTGCTTGCGTCTTCGGTGAGGAGTACTACTCCCCACTTTAAAAGGCAGCCTCGCATTTGTTACGCCTAGGTGAACAGCACAGCTACGCTTGGACTGCCACAGCCGTTTACAGCGCCTGGATTATGGGCCCGCCTCTGCGAAGAGACCAGAGGGAGGGTACGCAGGGAGATGAAGGACGAGGCCCCTAGGCTGAATTTCTTTGCCATGTTTTTAGAGCCAGACGGCCAACCTTGGTTGGTGCTCCCGGGTTCCTCCCTGCCCAGACTTGGGCCGGGGAAAGCCCGCTTGGTGAAGGACCACCTGTCTGCCACCATGCAGAGGTTATACGACGGTCACTGGAGGTGGGAGCTGTTTACTCGCCGTCGAGGAGTGTCGGCTTTGCGCTCCGTGGATCGTTTCGATCCCGAGACGAGGCCCTGTTCCTCGACTACCTCGTCTACCTCCTTGTCGGTCAAGGCCTCGCAGCCTCCACCGGCCGGGCATACCTCCGTACCGCTCTTGAACAGGTTACGAGTAGCGGTCTCACCCTCCGGGTCGGTTTTTGAAGCATGGACGGTCAGCTGAACTTCGTCCGCTTGGTCAAAAGGACTCGGAAAGGGGCCACGTCCCGTACCCTCAGTCCCAGCCGGGGGTTCCAGCCTCCCACGGTAAAAGAAGAATCCCAACTGGAGGGCGCAGGCAACTCCTCGGCCCCAAAAATCGCAAGGAAGGGCGTTGCTCGCGCGAGCGAGCATATTTGGGGTCGCCGGCCTTCTCTTTGCAATTGGGCCTCGACGTTGTCGTATGCCTTCCAAGGCCAGCATCAAGCATCAGACGCGGCAGTGGCTTGAGGGAAACGAAATGTGTGGTTGCCGAAGCGAGGTGTGTGTGTGCTACTGTACATGCGTACCTCAGTTGGGCTTTGGACAATCCCGGAATTGGGGGTGGAAAGGCGGGTATTGCATGGATGCATGTAATCCGCACGATGGAGTAAAACTCCACTGTGGAGCGAGGAGTGCCCGCAAGGCCAGAACGTGAAGATTTGTACAGCGACACAAACCTCGAGGCAGGGTGTTGAATTTCTTGTATAGGTAAAGTCCCTCTTTGGGAGCCCAAGGCTACGGCATGGAATCATGCATGTATAGTTGTGACCGTGCAGCGCCTTTTTGGTTCAGCAGTGAAAAGTGTGACCGCGTAGGGTCGTACAGTTTTTCTAACATAGCTAAGACTAAGGGTATGGGTCGTAGAGAGGACCCACCTGTTGCTGTGAATAAATCTTTGAAGCTGTATGGCATTTTTATGACGCTGGTGATTTGCGTAGTGCTCTGGGCAGAAAGATATGAAATAGGTCACTGTAAGGGCTCGACGAGTTTGAGGTGGTGGCGAACTATCGTTGCTTCAACCCAGAGCCCTCTCCCTGTAGACCTCAGGGAGCTGATTTTGCCAGTGCTGGGTTGCCTTGAGTTCAGCTTTGCGTGTCGAACGGAGGGCTCCAAAGAGGCCATGATCGGCAGAAGCCAGCCGTGAAGGCATGCTCGGACGAAGCCACATGCATGATGCAATGTTCGGCAGAAGCCAGCACGCAGTGGGCATCAGTCAGCATAAGCTGTGCGCAGATGAGCTTATGCATGCCCCGACGCTCTGTGTTGCGGCAAAACTTCTCAATGGCTGTGTGTCCATGGACGTTTGAATCCCTCGCCTCTGACCTGTTGCAACCACGTTTACAAGAAGACGAAGATGCTGGCTTGGTAACCCACAGTGTTCTGAAGCTTTACACACGCCGTGAAACAAAAGGTGAACAGGAACCTCTTGACTAAGGTGATCTACCACAGCACGAAGTTCAACTCTTGCATCATGAAGATTCAAAGAAACTGGCGGAAAATCCAGCTGTGCTACCTGGCAATGACCATCGTGATCCTCGTGGTGATGACCAACCTCAAAATGACGATAGATGGAGTGAGGTACCGTCACCATCGGACGAGGTTTACGGATCGGAGACGTGATAGGAAGTGATGTTGCGTCGCCGCGACCGCGATTGTGGTGTTTCATGTGTTTCCTAGTTGAACTTTTGTCGGACAAGTCCTCTTAAGGAATTGCTTGACCGCTGGGAGTTGCATTGTTGGATGGCTTCCGAAAACTCCAAGAACCCAAAGGCCAGTGACGAGGAGAAGGTGCGGATCGTAGGCCAAAGCAACGCATTTCATCGAGAGAGGTGCCGAATGGTTACGAAGGGTAAGAAAGCCGGCAAGACCAACAGTTTGTCTCGCAAGTTTGCTGTCGAGCTGAAGTACTAGCGTTGTGGACAGCGGTTGACGGCTGCTGCTGTCCCTTGAGTTCGAACCGCAAGTTCTTTTGAGCCTGGTTTTGTAGTTTATTTTATGAAGCTGAATGTGCAGAAAGATGCAGAATCTTTGATTGATGCCATAGGTATCGTTCTGCAACAAAGTTTGAGCTGGAAGTCTGAAAGTGCTGCCCGGAAAGGGGGGTAACAACTCTGTAGGGTAACCACAGATCCTTCCTTGGTTTACCAACCAACGTGTTCTATTTTCATTCGCAGCGCAGTGAGTTTTGGAAGCTAAAGTTGAACAGAGACGTTCTACCCGAAGGTTCAAGGTGTGCCGAAAAAGGGAACGTCAACTTTTGGTTGGGTCATTAATGGATCTTGATCGCTTCGCGAATGCTACCATGGAACGTGGTGAGCGTCGTTGAATTTCGCACCTTCGCTTGGAAAGGCAGTCTTTCCCGCCTGGTGCCGGCGGCTTGTCCAAAGCCTTTGCCCGCCAGCGCCTGGACGTGCAGACTGTCCTCCAGCGCGGAAGCCCAGAAAGGGGGGAAAGGAATGGGCGGACACCAACATTACAATGTTGTGTCGCCTCCCTGTGTTTCGGGCTTTCTTGAGGTGCCTCTTCTTTCCGTGGCTGCTGTTCTGCGCCACTTATGCGCTGTTGAAACGGACTTAGTTGTGATTGTTTCTTCTCGTCATTTGTTTAATGGCGCAACATGGTGAGGTCTTGCTCTCTGCATTTCTACCGGCCCAGCCTCACCTACTCCTTGGTGGCTCTCGCAGCGCTGCCGCCAACACTGCTCACATGGACGGTTTTGGTCTTGGGGGGCGAGTTGTGGGCTAAACCCCTTGAGCGTTCTGACTTCTCGTGCCAGCAGGCACGATCTGCTAGTAGCCCAAACAGGTCTGAACGTGCTTCTTCGTGCCTAGACCTCAACGCCATCACCGAGAGTGCAGTGTCCATCCGAAGGGAAAGCTCTTGTTCATAATATGGCATGCATCAGGGATCTTGGAGCCAGACACGTCGAACTATGCACGCCCTTGTCAAGACGACGCGAAGGGGATTTAGGACCGGAGGAAGGAGGCGGAGCAGGGCAAATACAAGTGTTGTCAGAATCTAGCACTAGCAGAAGACACCGTGTATCATGAAGCCCTGTCCAGCAATGTGTTTACATGCCAAACCAAGCCAAGCCATTTTACAATCAGACCAAAGGGCTTGTGTTACAGAAGATTCTAGCTAATACAGAACCTTGTCTAACAGGTGAGCCTATCTAGCAGAAGACCCCACGCTGCAACCAATCTCCGTTCGCTCAGGTTACAGGTTGCTTAGATGTTTGGGATGAGTTTGTTTCGGGTTTTACGAATTTTGAACACCCTCGTGACGTGACCAGTGCACGAAACGCATATTTGGCATGAACGAGGCCCCGACAGGCAGGCTGTACATCGCGGCTGTTTTTGGCCACAGAAACCTGACAAACAGAAGATGGCATGGCTGACAGAAGACCCTGCCGGAGGCAGGCCGTGAGCTGGGACGCGAGAAAGGCGGGGAATGCGGGATGCGAAACAACATGGACGTGGCGGCGGGGGGAGGGTTGGTGGTGGGGATGTCTCGGAATCTCACATGGGCATTGGGCGTTTCCCAGAAATCCAGCAGCGCAGAATACGCTTTTCCGTGAATGCAGCGCAGGATGTCACTGCGGTTCCAGAGCTTCCAGCCTAGCTGGTACAGTTTCCTAGCGGCTTGGGGCTTGGGAGAAGACGGATCTCGGAATGTGCCGCATGGGAAGGTAGGTCACAGATCAGGTCACCACACTTCTTGCTTGGCTCCTGGGCGTAGGGCGCCCGATGGCGCCCGGCTCCAGCGGAGCTCCTCGCTCAGAGTCGCAGAGCCCGCTCAGGTGGTTTTCGGAAACTTGAACTATGCGGCGACCACCGATCCGCCAGGGCCACACCCCAACCCTCAACGATCCTGCTTGCGCCGAGCCGCCCTGCTGAGGTTTTCGCAGTATGTCAACATGGACGTCCTCCCCGAGGTGTCATGAGACCAGGGCACAGAAAGGCGCTTGAACATACATCCTGGCAGAGGTGAGCCCTGCGCAATGGGATGGTGAAGCGGCTATGTCAGTGGGTCGCGTGTACTTCGGCAAGGAATCCACGCTGGATGTCAGGACGCTCCGCATGCTCCCCGCATGCTCCGCTCTTCGCTCTGCTTCTCGGGGAATCGCGCGGTGCGGGCCGTCGCGTGTTCAGGAGATCCATGGCCTTTAAGAACGTGGACACCTACTGCGTTGCTCCAGTATCCGTTTTGCAAGGTCCGCCTGCCGCCTCCACTCAATTGCAGATTCTGTGCAGAGAGACACCTCTCTGCACCAGGCGGCGTGGTCCTTCCCCTGGAGACCTATGATTTCTGGGCCATTGGCATGGACTGCTGCTCCGTTAATGCAGCAGACTTCCATTGCGGTAAGGGGCTCAGATGGGCCTCATGTCTGGTCCCGCTCTGCTCCTTTCTGCTCGTGCTCTTGCAGGTGAAGTTGGGAATTCGAAGGCTCACAGCGGCCTTCGGCTACTGGACGATCGGCAGCGCAGCTTCTACCGACTTGCCGTGGAGCAGGCCGCCGGAACAAGACTGCCATGTCTCGCTCTTGGTGTTTTCATTGCAGCCTCCTGCGCCCAGGCAGAGGCAGCTTACTTCATCAAGGCTCGATCTCAGTTGGCATGAGCAACCTCTTGGTAGCCCTGGGTGAGGCGCGACATCCAGTCTTCTTTTACTGGGTGGAAGATGCCACGGCAGAGATGGACTCCTTCCGCAACGATGGTTACAAGTGCTGCTTCGAGTTATTTCTCGCTGAGCCTCCTGCTCCTGCTCTTGGACTCTTGGAGGTACTTTCTGATCGGCATGCTGAGCCATTTCCTCTACCAGCAGCCTGTCGGCAGGGCAGCAGGGCGGGAACTCTTTCGAACGGTGAATGCAATGCCATGCTCTGCTATGCCATGCTATCTCTCGCCTGGCCTGGTCTTGCGAGCGGCCCCAACGCGCCTGTGCGTCGCAGTGGCCTCGCTGAGGTTGCTCTGCGTCCTCTTGGCCATCGCTGCTTTCTCCAAGTGGGGATACGAGTGAGCGGCCGATGCTCGGCGAGCAAAAAGCACTCTTCCGCACTCCTCGTCGCTAAACGGGCACCAAGTGATAAAGTTTCGTTTGCTTCTTCGCTTGACCTGTCAGCTTTCTGCCGTCGCTTTTCGGCCTAAGACGGGCCCTCCTGAGTCTCTTACCCTTTGCGAGAGCTGTGGAAATATGCATTGCTTCGACTGACACGTCTTTCTTCTGCGCGAGTGTCTAGTCAAGTTGGCACCGGAGCCTGCGCTGAGCCCTGAATGCAGAGCATCCGCGAGATCGTCCAAATGAACACTGAGGGTTCCACCGAATCCCTTCCTGATCTGGAGAACCAGCGCTGAGGCCTGACAGGCGGACCGCTGGAGATGTGCTGCTTGTGAGGGCAGCAACTTGGCGAGAGACCCCGCTGGCTTTTGGAGTTGCGAGGACTGCGGCTCGACCCTCTATTATGCAGTGGACATGCCGACGGCACGGAGGCCAGCGCACGGGCTGGGTACATGGCACTATGTCTCGGCAGGCGGTGCGCCACCGACTTCCGCGACGGCAAGGACACGTGGCGATGGAGGACTCCTGCTGTAGACCCGGGCTCCACTACAAATCCTTTAGCAAGGCCTGGCACCGGCAACCGCCGCGGAGACGACAACGCTAAGGACCGGACGACGAAGACGGCGACGAAGCCTCCGAGCAGCCGGAGTCGGAAGCACTTCCTCGATGCCTTCATGATCCGTGGGCGCGGCCGGCTCCTGAACATCGTCCTCCACCACGCCTACCTGTTGCACCACGAGCTCACGGCGGCGCTAATCCTCGACCGCCTGGAGAAGACGATCCACCCGAGAGACGGCACGCCAAGGCACACCAGGTCGCGAGCGGGAAAAACAAGAAGGCCGGCACAGACTTTAGCTGGAATAGCCGCATGGGCCCAGAGAAGCACATTAAGTTGCGAGGCGGCGCGCCGCCGCAGCCGCCAGCCTGGCGGTATGATGTGAACGACATGCGAAGTGGGCAAAGAAGGTTGAGATCTGGCGTGTCCAGATAGCATGGTACATGCCGCGGAGAGAGGCAGCCTTGCTTCTTTACACCAGCCTGACCGGAGAATCCGAAGCCGAGCTCGAACACGTGCCGCTCAAGAGCATCAACCAGGAGGCTTTATCCTTAAAGCACCCTGAAAGCACCGATGGAGCAGAAGGCCGTGCCCAAGCGCAAGTACTTGGCAGATCTCGAGGAGCTGAACCGGTACCCGGGTGAGGGCTTCGCACCTTCAGATAGGCCGAGGATGAGCCAGACGACCAGGAGGACCAAGAAGCCCCAGAGTCCGAGCTCGAGGACCTTGGAGTACCAGGAGAGAGCCTGGGACTTGTACCACGGAAGATCCACGGAAGAGAAGGCAGCGATCAGCTCCAGATGGCGATGCCTGTGCACTTGCGTGCTGGGCTTACAGGTATACGGCCTATGAGGCCGTGAGAAAGCCTCAGCATGACAAGCTGAAGACGAAGACCGCCGAAGGCAAGCCGACTGATGGCGTCATGAAAATGCTGGTCTGGTCGAGACCCTGGAGAACATCGCCGCGGAAGCCCCCGTGAAGGTGAACGAGCTGTTCCTCGGCTCCTTCTACAGCAGCACCGTATGGCGCCAGCAGGGCGAAACGATGCAGCAGTACATTGTGAGAAGAGAGCAAGACTTCAAAAGGCTGGAGCTGAGGATGTGCTTCCTTCTGCACAGGTGCCCGACCACATAAGGGCACTTATGCTCCTCGTCTTCCGCGGCCTCGACCGAAGGAGGAGATGGCGATCCTGGCACGACTACGACTTCAAGAACATCGGGCACGCTCTCAAGTTCCCGAACAGCCCGTCTTTAGAAGGGACTACCTCGGCTGTGGAAGAGCACCATCCTCCAGCGCCGTTGGCCCGAGGCCGCGGTCGACCCCGAAGAGAAATGGCAAGACGCGCAGCTTTGGCTACGCCGCCGCAGAGGAGGACTACGACACCACCGAGGACCCTGAAGCCTATGTCGCGGACTACCACGAGCACTATGACGACGTGCCGGAGGCCCCGCGCTCGCAGGCCTACCCCTTCAAGGCCCAAGGCGAGATCGGTTTCGAGCAAAAGGCGAGATGCCAAGAAGAACTTCCAGAAGCAGGTCACTCCGTGGCCAAAAGGGGCACTGGAGTGTGGTGACCGGAGTGCCCCAACAAGGGCAAGGGAGCGAAGCGCCAAACAAGAAGCCACTGGCCTCCTTTTACGTCCTTCAGGAAGCGGTCGACGGCAGGAGCAGTTCTTCACGGCCGGCGCTACGGGAGGACAGCCGGCAACGCCTGCTCACTTGGAGCCGCCGTCGGGCACACTCTTCGACCAACACGGACCTCGAGCATGCTTCCTACAATGGTGGCCACGAAAAGAAGTTCTACCGGTCCGGAAATGCACACACGAGGGGCGTGCGCTGCAAGGACGACCTGTGCCCTCCGAAGGCGCCCGCGGCCCGCCAAATTCTTGGCAACTGGTGGGGCAAACTTCGGGCTATGCTTCTCGGCTTCTTTTTCGGAACCTTCTACGGCAGCCGAGGGCAAGGATCATAAGGCTGCCGACCCCGGGACAACAGGTCTGGATCTACGGAGTCTGTGTTGCCCCCGAGGTCGAGTTGCCCATTTTTCCAGAGCTCGGCCCCGAAGATGCCGACATCCTGGTGCCGTTGCCCTATGACAGGAGCCAGTTGAGGCCGAAGGACCCTTTTGTGGGTGGTTCTACGACGAGCTGGCCTCCAAGCAAGAAGCCGCCTGGTTTTGCACCCAGGCGTACCGCTTTGAGGCTAGGCGAGTTTCAAAACGAGCCCTCCTCGCTTTTTGTCCTGAGCGAGCGCCAGCCCACACAACCAGGGAAGCGAGCCACCTCCAGAAGAACCTCGGAGGATCAACGGCATCGACCCGGGGTCCATGGGCCTCACCTGGACCAAATCCTCCGCGACTACAATGGCGTGGCTGTTCTCGAGGGCTGGCAGCCAGATGATTGTCAGGATCACCAAGACGATCCTGCTTTGTGGCGTGCCGAGGTATGACGGCGAAGACTTCCTCAGCCGGCAGGTTGTTCAAGGAAAGGTCAGGGTCAGCAAGCAGCCTCCTTGTGGAAAGACCTGGATGAAACAGCTTTTCGCTGCCCACACAGAACTCAGTATACTCTGCGTCCTGGCTGGGATGGCTATCGGTGTCCCCTTGGACATCACGGGCACCGGCTGGAACCCCACCACGAGGGCAGGACTGCAGCAAGTCCACAACGACCTGAAGAAGGAGGACCCCTACCAAATCGTGATCACTGCCTCCTTCTGCGACCTCAGCCAGCCGGCCATGATTACAAGCAGCAGTTCGGCTACAAGGTCTCCCCTCTCCTTGGTCAACAAGGTGGTCCGGGATGAAAGGAGACCGCCATGTTCTGATAGAACTGCTATACAACCTGCTCGAAATGGCCGACGTGAAGGAACTTTACGAGTCGGGTGCGATAGTGGCCGTGGACACCGACCATCTACACGGCCAGCCGACCGCAACGATACTCACTACAATGCTGGTTGCCGAAGGAATGCTGAGTGACACTGGGGATAAGGAACCGGCCTCAGAACAAGGACGGGCGCCACAACGTCACCATTTGCACCCAACCTTGACAAAGGCTGTCTACGATACTTTGGTGCAACAGGCCTTGGTCGAGGCGACAGCCACCGACAACATCGAGGTGGCGTTCCCCGTGCGGCCTGGAGACCCAAGGACACTGCAGCAACAACGGCCTAAAAGAAGGAGGTCGTGCTCGCGGACCAGTTCAACGCGCCGCCTGTCTACATACGGCCTGACCTGCAAGTGCAAGCGCCGCAGCCGATCGACGATGGAGATTGGACACTAAGCTGATCGGCGAGTATGACCCGCCAGCCACATACAACCCAGGTGACGACTCAAGCGCTAGAGCAATACAGGCCGCGCAGCTGGAGCCAGTCCTCAGCATCACAGAGAGCGAGAGAAGAAGGAACTGGCTAAAGGCAACACCGGAGATCCGCAAGACACCCGTGCCCTACATGTCCAGTTCGGCCACCCTACTACCGCAACCATGCTCCGGATTCTCCGACGCATGGGAGCCAAGCTGGAGGTGATACGGGCAGCTCAATACCTTAGCTGCGACAGTTGTGGAGAGTCACTTCGGAGAAAGAGGCCGAAGCGAACGAGACTTCCCAGCAAAGCACCATCTCCAGCTGGACACCTTCTACGCCAAGGACATTCAGTCCATCCTGTACTCCTTCCTCAATATAATCGACGAGGCCACCGGATTCCAAGTTGTCTCGGCCAGGCAATCGGTCCCCCAGGCAAGCGGCGCCATTCTGAAGCACTTCCTTTTTAGTTGGAGCAGCTGGGCCGGGCTACCACAGAGCATCCAGGTCGACCTCGGCAAGGAGTACATGGCTGATTTCGCGAACTACCTGAAGGAATAGGGCGTGGAACAAGAGACCATGCCGCTAGAAGCTTTCTGGAAGGGGGGAAAGGCCAGGAGCGTGGAAGGAGATCTTTGTCAAGACGGTCCACGACATGCAGATTTCCGGGCTGAAGGACGCCCAGATGGCCACCGGCATCGTGACTCAGTGCCGGAACTATTTTCCAAGAACGTCTGGGTACTCACCCATCCAGTGGGTACTTGGCGTGCCGCAGACCCGCCTTCCGGGGTCTCTCTTGGACGACGCCGAAACGGAGAGACTTGAAGTGCTAGAGGTAGCGGAGGACCCCACAAGCGCAATGGCGAGAAGCCTTGGCATCCGTGAAGCAGCCAAGGTTGCCCAAATCAGGGCCGACACAGACGACAGAGTGCGAAGGGCGCTCCTGAGAAAGAGCACCCCAACAGGAGCGTCGCGCACCTACCGTTGGCACGGCTGTGCTGGCGTGATCGGCGTGGAGCTTCCGAACCAGCGCCGGACAGAATACCCAGAGCCAGCCACCGACGGAGGCCAACCGCACAGTTATTGGCTTCGTTTTGGTTCCATGGTCGTGCTGGTGACTGGCGAGCAGTTGCGCTTTGGTTGAGGAGATGAGCTTCTAGCTGCCCACTCAGTGCCGCAGGGGGCCCTGGAGCCACCTTACGCCAGAGGTGCCCACAACTTTGCGGACCTTAGGGTCCCCGCCGCGCCGGATCCGGTCCCCCAGTGCAGTGCAAGAGGGACCCGTGCCACAGGCCCCTGCGACGATCATCAATACGAGCTCCGAGCCCACAGTGACTACAGCGCCTCTGGTGTACATCCCTGGAACAGAGATATCTGTGCCCGAGCTCCTTCCTCCAGTATGGCAACCTTGACCACATCGAGCAGACAGCCCAGGAGCAGCCGGAACAACCGCAGGGAGAACCGCAACAAGTACAGCCACAACTTCCCGAGATTGTGTTAGCTCCGGACCCACTTCCTCCACAACAACCGACTTCAAGAAGGAACCGAACCAGAACCACAACCAATGCAACAGGCAGCTGCGCCCTCACAGGCACCACCTGCTGTCCGGTCGCCTGTCTTCAATGACCTCAACCGCTTGGACGGCTACCATCCTGTGAGAAGGGCAAGGACGGGTGATGCACAGGGACCACCAGATGATAGACCCTACTTTGTGGAATCTGACCTGTGGCATCACCCCGACCTTCCACAACGACTTCTTGAAAGAAGCCTTCAAACGCTTGCTGTGGAGAATGGTTACCTGAGCGAGACAACGGAGGATGAGGAGGAGTACGTTTTCCCCGAAAAATGCCCCGCGGAGACCTTCATGACGGGACCGCAAGGAGTGGAACTCGTGGCGAAAGTTCGGTGCAGTGGAAGTGGAAAGGCTCTCGGAGGAGCAGGTGAAGCAGTTACCGCGGGATGCCAAAATCATCGGAACGTGCTGGGTCCACACAGATAAGAACGCAAAGCCCCGACTGCTGGCCACAACTACATGCCGAAGCGGACCGGCAAAACAAAACAGCAGATCGACAAGGAGTTCCCCTTCGAGGCCAAGAGCCGGTTGGTTGTGCAAGGGTGCCAGGAGGACCCACATGATATAAGATCCGACTCTCCTACCGCATCACTCCTTGCCTTCAACCTCGTGTGCTCCATTGCCACCATGATGGGCTGGGTGATCACAGCCTGTGACGCCTCAACAGCCTACCTGCAGTCGCACGGCATAAGCCGCCTCCTGCTGTTACGAGCTCCTCGGCCTCCACCTCCTGGCGTGAGCCCCTTCGACCTCTTTCGGGCAAGAGGTTCCATCTATGGAACAAAGGACGCTGGAAGGGCATGGTGGAGAAAGCTCTGGAGAACCTTGAAGAAACACGGGTGGCAGATGTCAGAGGTCGAGGCGGCGCTCTTCTACCTCTTCGACGGCATGGGGCTCCTCGGCGTGATGATCAGCCACGTCGATGACCTCTACAGCGGAGGGGAAGGCAAAACGTACAACGACACCATCTCTGAGATGGAGGTGGAACTTCACTTGAAGATCAAGAAGGGCGAGTTCAGGTTCTGCGGCAAAAACGTTGCACAGCGCGAAGGGTGCATCTTCCTGGAACAATACGACGCCATAGAAGGAGTGGACTATATGGTCTTGGAAGCCAGCCGCAGAAAGCAATTAAACGCCCCGCTGAGTGAGCAAGAGAAGTCCCTGTTCCGCGGCTTGATAGGCCAAATGGGATGGATCACTCGGCAAAAAGACCGGACTTAATTGATGGTGAACGTGAGCATGGCTGCCCAATCAATGGGGCACCCCACCATCAAAGACGTTATCAACTTCAACAAGGCCGTGAAGATGCTGAAGGAATCATCCGATGCGATGTGGTGCTTCCGCGCATCGGACCTCAGCCTCGACAATGCCATGGTGTTCTGGAAGTCCCAGACCGGGTACTTGATCGGCTTCACCACGCCGGAGATCCACGAAGGAAAGAAGGTGCCGATCCATGTCATCGAGACGCACTCCGGAAGCATAAAGCGGGTATGCAGATCAACGCTGGCAGCCGAGGCGAATGGCTTCTTGGCCGGTGTGGAAGCAGCCGAGTACTTGAGGGCTTTGTTGATGGAGGTCAGGTTCCCGAACATCTCCCTACGAGACCTCGAGAACCACTTCCTCAAGGCCAAGATCGCCTGCTTCACGGACGCCAAGAGCCTCGAGAGCACCCTAAACCGTTCCACGGGACAACCTCAAGATAAGCGAGTCAGGATCCTTGTCGCACAGGTGAAAGAACTACTTGGAGAAGACGAGTACGAGGACCAGGGCTCCGCTTTCGCCCATTGGGTGGATACGAGCCAGATGCTGGCTGATGTCCTGGCTGAGCAGGGGTGTGAACGAGGGCCGTTGCTTGAGGCCTTGTACAGCGGAGAGTGGACCCTAGAAACCTCGGAACAGGCACGTCTGAAGAAGATGGCAGTGAGGGCGGGTCGTCACTCAAGAAAGGCCCTGTCGAAAGCCAAGGACGGGTGTGAAACGTCACCTGTAGCAGCCAGTGTATAGGATGGCAGTCTGCATGGACGTGGGCGCCGCAATGCGTGTGGCTTCGAACAGGGCGCCCGTTTTAGAGGAAAAGATAGCCGCCGTGCTCCCGCACCGCTGTCTGCATTTGCATAAAGTTTTGCTTGCTTCTTCGCTTGATCTGTCAGCTTTCTGCCGTCGCTTCTCGGCCTAAGACGGGCCCTCTTGACTCTTTAACCCTTAGCGAGAACTGTGGAAAATGCATTGCTTCGACTGACACGTCTTTCTTCTGTGCGAGTGTCTAGTCAAGACCAACAGCTTGCTCGCATTCGCAGAGTCAAAGCTCGAGCGGAGCCGACGCTCACAAACCTTAAGAGACACGTGAAGAGCAGCAACCTAGCAACCCAGCAGCCGGCAGACGGAAGCCACTGATGCCGCTCGCTCGCGCCGGCTTCAACTTCCCTCCAGGCTTGGCTATTGGCTCTCGCATTAGCGAAGACGCTCTGTGCTCTCGCCAGGGCGGTGGGATGACGAGAAGGCCAGGCCCACGCCACGCTCGCTCTGCGGTTGTGTGGAGAGCGGCACCTGCGCAGGTCTTGGGAAGACTTGGACTTGGAAGTTTTCTCGGAGGAGCAGCTGAAGGAGACCTGCCTTCGACTCGAGAGCCTCGCCGGAAACAGGCGGATCCTGGGTCCGCCGGTGTGCTTGGCTTTCTGTCCAGCCAAGGGGCCGCGTGCGGATGCTCCGAAGCTTCCTGGCAGACCTGCATCGCGAGAACGCCACCCTGCGAAGGCCAGCAGAGGAGTGAGGGCGAGACGCGACTTGCGGGACTTGCGGGGCCCGTGGCCAGCGTGTTCTTGGGCCCGCCTCCGCCTCCTCGCGATGGCGACTCTTTCCCGAATCAATCTTTGTTGGCCCGGCCGGGTTGAAAGTCTCAACAGTCACCAACAGTCCTGGCACGGAGGCAGCGGGCCATGCTCAGCGACCGTTTAGGAGAGATGGAGGCGGGAGTCTGTTCGCAGTTCTTCAGTGCTCGGCTGCGGCCTCTGTGCGATCCTGGCGATGGAGAGGACTCCTTATGTGCCGCCGCAGCAGCGGCCTCTGGAGACGATGGAGAGGAAACGAAATGCGATCACCACACAGCAAGAGCCAACACTGGCGTCACGGGGCCGGGGCAGCGAGCGCTGCAAGCCCGGACCCCGGAGGCGCAGACGGCAAATTCCAGCAGTTTCGAAGAACGCCAGGAGCTTCTTGAGCAAAGTCCTGACGGAGAGCTTTCTTATTGGCCGGACTCCTACAGAGTGTCTCTGTCATCCGTGCTGGATTGCGGACACTGCCAAGGGCTTTGGGGCCCCTTCAGCATGCCGAAGGGGGCGACTGCATAGACTGGGGCGGCGCCGGCCCGCGGCAGCAGCGGCGGCTCTCCCAGCTGCCCTTCCAGTGCCGAGGTAGCACCGCTGCAGCGAAAGAGCGCATGCGTTTGAGGATTGGCGTGCCGCAACGGCTGCGCTTGCGCAATGCCGAGGCTTCTTGCGGTGCAAAGGCTCTCGGAGTCTTCCGCGGAGGCGAAGACCCAGGAGCGGGCTGCCCGTGGGACCGGTAATGGAAAAACGCAGTCGCAACAAACCCAGTCCAAAAGAGAGCTCCGTGATGAGACCCGTGGCTGCCAAAGGGTAAACTCCTGAGCGATCACGGCCATTCGAGTCTTGGCATGTTTTGGCTTGGAGGCTTGGGTTTGCGCAGGAGCTCGAGCTACGGCGATGCCAGGCGCAGGAGGAGCAACTGCGGATGGAGGCAGGGATTGGGAGGGCGACAGACGCAGATGCCAAAGGTCAGCTGGTGTACAGGTCTGTGAGCATCAGCTCAGCCGGGCGCAGATGGAGCAGGACGATTGCTGCCTTTGTGATGTGTTGAAAGCTCGCGCAGTGATGTTCGGTACAAAACTTCAAGGCACCTTATGTAACTTATAACTTTTGTGCACAGTCACTTCATCTCTTCTTCGGTTTGTCGCATTCCCACGGCAGTCAAGAGAGCAGCTTGTTCCGGTGGGTGGAAGCTTGAACCGCTTCCTCCCTCCAACACGGTCGTTGAAGCAGACTATTCACGAATGTCTTGAACCCCTCCTTCCACTTCGACACACCGCGAACTCAGCCTCCGCAGGAGTGTTGACTTGAGGCATGTGCTACAGGCGCAGCATGCAAACTGCGAGGACTCCGCAGACCGTCTGCAGCGTCTCACAGCGCGGGAGGCACTTGTTCCCGGGTGGAGTTGTTGGGGTCTTGGCATGTTTTGGCTTGGAGGGTTGGGTTTGCGCAGGAGCTCGAGCTACGGCGATGCCAGGCGCAGGAGGAGCAACTGCGGGTGGAGGCAGGGATTGGGAGGCGACAGACGCAGATGCCAAAGGTCAGCTGGTGTACAGGTCTGTGAGCATCAGCTCAGCAGGGCGCAGATGGAGCAGGACGATTGCTGCCTTTGTGATGTGTTGAAAGCTCGCGCAGTGATGTTCGGTACAAAACTTCAAGGCACCTTATGTAACTTATAACTTTTGTGCACAGTCACTTCATCTCTTCTTCGGTTTGTCGCATTCCCACGGCAGTCAAGAGAGCAGCTTGTTCCGGTGGGTGGAAGCTTGAACCGCTTCCTCCCTCCAACACGGTCGTTGAAGCAGACTATTCACGAATGTCTTGAACCCCTCCTTCCACTTCGACACACCGCGAACTCAGCCTTCGCAGGAGTGTTGACTTGAGGCATGTGCTACAGGCGCAGCATGCAAACTGCGAGGACTCCGCAGACCGTCTGCAGCGTCTCACAGCGCGGGAGGCACTTGTTTCCGGGTGGAGTTGTTGGGGTCTTGGCATGTTTTGGCTTGGAGGGTTGGGTTTGCGCAGGAGCTCGAGCTACGGCGATGCCAGGCACAGGAGGAGCAACTGCGGGTGGAGGCAGGGATTGGGAGGGCGACAGACGCAGATGCCAAAGGTCAGCTGGTGTACAGGTCTGTGAGCATCAGCTCAGCCGGGCGCAGATGGAGCAGGACGATTGCTGCCTTTGTGATGTGTTGAAAGCTCGCGCAGTGATGTTCGGTACAAAACTTCAAGGCACCTTATGTAACTTATAACTTTTGTGCACAGTCACTTCATCTCTTCTTCGGTTTGTCGCATTCCCACGGCAGTCAAGAGAGCAGCTTGTTCCGGTGGGTGGAAGCTTGAACCGCTTCCTCCCTCCAACACGGTCGTTGAAGCAGACTATTCACGAATGTCTTGAACCCCTCCTTCCACTTCGACACACCACGAACTCAGCCTCCGCAGGAGTGTTGACTTGAGGCATGTGCTACAGGCGCAGCATGCAAACTGCGAGGACTCCGCAGACCGTCTGCAGCGTCTCACAGCGCGGGAGGCACTTGTTTCCGGGTGGAGTTGTTGGGGTCTTGGCATGTTTTGGCTTGGAGGCTTGGGTTTGCGCAGGAGCTCGAGCTACGGCGATGCCAGGAGCAGGAGGGGCAACTGCGGGTGGAGGCAGGGATTGGGAGGGCGACAGACGCAGATGCCAAAGGTCAGCTGGTGTACAGGTCTGTGAGCATCAGCTCAGCAGGGCGCAGATGGAGCAGGACGATTGCTGCCTTTGTGATGTGTTGAAAGCTCGCGCAGTGATGTTCGGTATGGTGCAGTACTTCAAAACTTCAAGGCACTTGATGTACGAGAGAGGTTTTTTGTAGGGTCTATTTGACCCCCCATTTGTTTCTCTGTGGCTGTATAAATTCGAAATATTATCGAGGAGTCCCGAATAATTGAAGTTGTCGGTCGTAAGAACCGCTCCAGCGAAGTGACAACGGCACACCGCAAGGCCTGGTCGAATCATGCAACAAGAAACACCCCATGTCTGAACATACGCACTATCCGACGCAGCCCTGGATTCAGCAGTGTGGGAAAAGATTTTCATGGTAGCGGAGCTCGGTCCGCTCTAGGCGACCGGGTCTTCCGGTAGGAATTCACTAGCATTCCCCGAGCCTTTGGGCCCTCCAGGTTTCACCGCATAATAGCTCTTTGTTTTCTCCTCTGCTGCAGTTCGATCTGCCAGAGTGCAGCCGTCGCTGCCTTTAGCTGGGCCGACGGCCAATCCTCTTTTAGCGTAAGACCCCGTGGTGGAGGGGCGGCTCCGGAATATCTTTTTCATTTTGGTGGGAAGGAGGAGCAGAGGCGCAGAGAGCAGAGGGCCTTTGAGAGAGGAGGCCGGGAGGAGCAAAGTGCTGGCGCCGGGTTTTCACTGGGCGCTGGCTTCTTCGGAAGTGGTATCATGCAGGCGAATGGTGGTGATGGAAGTGGGCTGCCAGATGGGCAGCCACAGCAGCAGGGAGCTGCGCCGAGCCAGGCTTCGGCAGCCGGCGCGGCACAGCCGAACCAGCAACAACAGGCGGAGCAGTTCGTTGACAAGATCGTCAAGCAGAGGCTGGACCAGGCTTTTTCAAGTGTGTTTGGGAAGCTGATTGAGTCTTCCGAGCGCGCGGCAAAGGCGGCCGAGCAGCAAGCAGGAACGCAGAGGACAGACAATTTGATCAGGAGCCTCAAGGTGGACACCTGGAAGCCGCAAAGCCGCGAGGAGGAGTTGAGGACGTGGCGTGAGTGGTGGTTCGGGTTGAGCAACTGCTTGATTGCAAACGACGCCGCCTACGAGGACGACTTGAAGAACATTGACCAGGAGACCGAGGTGGACCACGCCCTCTTGCCGGACGAGATGGTGCAAAGGAGCCAGAAGCTGTATGGGTTGTTGTGCAGCCTTCTCAAGGGGAGGCCTTTGCTCCTTGTTCGGGGGCTGGAGAAAACCAAGTCTGGGTACGAGGCGGTGCGGCTGCTGAGGTCAGAGATGGAGCCGCGTGAGAAAGCCCGCTCTTTGGCCCTTCTCCGGCAACTTGCCAGCTGGAGGTTCGATGGGCCAGGCGGGTTACACGAGAAGCTCATACAGTATGAGGAGGCGCTCCGTGCCTACGAGACGGCGTCCGGCAAGGAGTTCCCGAAAGACCTTGTGCTGGCGACGGTGCTGACGGGACTCAGAGAACCACTTCGGTCCCAGGTTCAGCTGAGGATGGGGCCAACCACGGCCTACAGCGAGCTGAGGGAATGGATCCTTCAATACGAGTCGTTGAACACGCCATGGGGGACGGCAGCCCCAGGCCAGCCAAAAGGAGGTGGAGGCGGAGGCCGCCAATATGACGATGGTGGGCAGCAGCCAATGGAAGTGGACCGCATATGGGGCGGCTACGGCTATGGCAAGGGCAAGGCGAAGGACGGCAAAAGCAAGACCAAGGACGGCAAAGGCAAGACCAAAGAAAGCAAAGGAGGGAAAAGGCTATGGCGGCGGACAGGCTCGATGGAACCAGTGGGCGAGCGCTGGCTGGAATGATCCCGAAGGCTGCCGCATTTGCGGGCAGCGTGGGCACTGGAAGTGGGAGTGTCCTTTGGCAGCAAAGGGCAAGGGAGCAAAAGGCCCGAAGGGGAAGGTCCATCAAGTGGAGCAGGTTCCTTCCTCAGCTGCGTCAGTTGCCCCGTCGACGGCCTCGACTACGCTTCCGTCTTCTGCCTCGACTTATCGGGGCACGGCCGCCACGGTCAACTTGGTGGAGGCCTTCGTCTCGACTCCCCCGGGGTGCCGCGTGACCGAAGTCTTCGACATAACCGAGATCGATGAGGAGGGGGAGTTCTCGCTTGAGGGCAACGGGGTCCTTAGGAACCACGAGCGAAGAGCCGGAGACCGGAGCACCCGTGTACCGGATGGACGCCACCGATGACGATGATGATTGGACCCTGGTGCCAGGCCTGGCGGCACTCTCTCCTGAGGCCGCCGAGGCAAGCAACGAGGAGGAGAGCGTGGCCCGGGTGTGCGCCGTGACAGCTGGCGTGGAGGTGGATGTCATCATAGACAGCGGGGCCGACATTTCAGTTGCCCCTGTCAGGCTCAGCTCGGTGGGCCAGAGCGCAAAGGCGGGAGAAGTTCGCCATTGCAAAGGTTGAGAGTGATCCTCAGCCTGGGGAGGTTGCTGAGATGGGGGTGGACTTTGGGGTCCCACGACGGAAAGCCAACAATGGAGAAGGCGAACACCGTGTGGGAATACGCCTGAGAAGGAACACCCTGATGATCACGGCCATGGTCTCGGCTATCTCTTCAGCAGCCCCTCCTGCAGGAGTCCGTGCCTTTAGCAGCTTCGACGACCTGGGCCGCCTCCCGGAACCTCTTGAGGAAGTTGCTGCGCGGCCTGGCTGGCACATTCTCGGAAATGGGCTGCCAGCTCTGGTGGCACACCGCGTCACAGAGCTTGACCTGGAGCAGAACCTCTGGGACATGGAGGACTGGACGTGGGTGGCAGTCTTTGTACGAGTGTCCCAAAGGACATCCTGAGCAAGCCGGCGGCCGTTTTCCCAGAAGGCCCCAATGATGATGAGGCCCCCGTTGTCCCAGCAGAGCGTGGCACTGATGATGAAGGGGCCGGTGCTGGCCTTGAGGTTGGAGACCTTGAAGCCATGGCGGTTGACGGCCGGCCGGTCGAAGACGCCCCGGCCAATGGCGATGAGGAGCTCGAGGGTGTGGCGCTCAGCGTGGAAACTCCTTTGAAAACTTTGCGCGGCCTATGTGACAAGCTGGGCCTGTCCCGAAGCGGTGGCAAGGACAAGGTCCTAAAAAGGCTGCGGATGCAAAGGGAGGTCTTGGAGCAGCGCATGACGGCGGAGGTGGCCAGGAAGATGTTTCTCGAGCAGAACCGCGAGCCCGACATGCCAAAGGTACCTCTGCTTCCTTCGGCCAGACAACAGGAGCTGCACAACATCACCCACCAGCCCTTTCAGCCGTGGTGTGAGGCTTGTGTTCTAGGGCGAAGCCGGCAGAGCCCGCATCGAGCACAGCAGGCCGACGAGCAGGAGGTTAGCAGCACAAGCCAGCCCGACCCGGTGATCCAGATTGACTATGGATATGGCTTCACCAAGCAGAAGCACGAGGTGCAGGAGGGGGAGCAGCAGGCAAGGCCGGCCGAGGATGGGCAAGGGGGCGGAGGTGAAAATGAGCCCAATGACGCCGGGACCCAGCCCATCCGGCCTCACCTTGTTTGCGGCAGAGAGCACCACGGGCTGGATTGTGGCACTCCCCATCTTGGAGAAAGGGGCCGGCTCTCTGAAGAGGGTGACGGAAAACCTCACCAGGCTGAGCCTCCAGATCAGCCCCAGTGAGCCGGTCACCGTGCAGGGCGACCCCGAGCCGGCTGTGAAGCAGGCCCTTGGAGCAGTGAAGTCATGCAGGGCAAGGCTGGGGTTGGTGACCAACACGCAGCTCATTGAGAAGGGCAGCCATGCCAGCAACGGGCGGGTCGAGAAAGCCATCGACACAATCAGGCGTTCGGGCCTGACTCTGCGATGCCACCTGGAAGGGCGGATCAAGGCAAAGATCGAGGGCCACAACCACATCTTTGCGTGGGTTAATCGCCACGCGGCCTTCCTCCACAACCGGTTCGCCAATGGTGGCCGTGGCTCTCCCCCGTTCGAAATCATGTTTGGAAGGCGCTACCGTGGGAAGCTCCTTCCCTTTGGCGAGAAGTGCATCTTCTACAAGGGCAGCAAGCACAAAGCAGACGTCCAGTGGGAGAGAGGAATTTGGCTGGGGATCAACGAGAGAAATGGCTCACACATTTTGGGGACCACGGCCGGAGTGACCGAGTCGAGAAGCATTCGACGCCTGCCGGAGCCGGAGCAATGGGATGCTGAAATGGTCCTTTCAATGAAGGGCCTTCCGTGGTCCTACATGGGAACGGCCCGAAGGAAGAGACCCCTCTACTCTTCTTTAGGCACACGCGTGCCGTTGCTGCCTGACAGCGCCACCTTGGAGGAGATAGCGAAAGCAGCCGGGAGAGCAGCTGCAGAAAGCATTGCAGCAGCCACCCCGGTTCCAGCCGTTGGCACTCCAGTGCCGGGCCGGCCGGTGAGCGAGGCCGGGTCCGACCCACCTACTTCCTCAAGCTCTAGCTCGGGATCCAGCCAAGGGAGCCCAGGACCCATGAGAGCGACCGGGGCACCAGCAGAAGCAGGCCAAAGCGAGCAGCGGCAGCAGCAACCGAACACACAGCAAGAATCGACAGGACAGTCGCATCCATCGGGTACCAGGCCAGAGCAGAGACGAGAGCAGCAGCAGCAGCCGAACACACAACAAGAATCGGCAGGACAGTCGCATCCATCGGGTCCCGCTGCTATGTCAGATGTGGGCAGACCACCTGTGGCACGTGAGGCACCACAACCAGAGGCCACTACTCCTAAGAGACCACGCCTTTTGCTTGACAGACCTGGTGGGGCAACAGGTTCGCCGGCGGCATCTACACCTAGTGCTTTATATCCCCCAGCCTATGCAGGTGTGAGCCGCGCCGGCATCAACATGGTCCATGGCGACATCCTTCCAGAGGAGCTTTCGGATTTTGGCGCTTGGGGCGACGAGGTGATTGACACCATGGTGGAGGAAAGCGAGCTTGCCGGAGAGTACAGTGAACCCTGGTGGGATGAAGAAGGAGATGCTCCACCGGCGTTGTCAGAAGGCGACCTTAGGGTCGTCGACGCCGAAGCCGACCAGAAGGAGATCACCCGTCTGATCCAGATGGGTGTGGCCCGTTGGCCACATGAGGGGGAGGACGTGTCCGGGTACCAGACCTTGACAACCAAAGTGGTACGCGACTGGCGTAAGCGTCCTGGCTGGGTTCGGCGCAGCCGCTTGGTCGGCCGGGAGTTCAGAACAATGGCCGCGTACACCCAGGAGCTCTTCGCACCTGCCTCCACTTTGGCAACGGTGCATGGATTCATATCCTGGGCGCTCTCGAAGAACCTCCAGCTGACCACGGTTGACGTGAAAGATGCATATCTCAACGTGCCGCAGCCGAGCCCAGTTACCATAGAGGTTGAGAAAGCAATGTTTGGGAACAGCGAGCCAGGAACAGTGACGTTGGTTTTGGACCGGCTCCTCCCTGGCCAAAGGATTGGAGCCGCCGCCTGGTATGGGTTCGCAAAGGATAAGTTGGAGCAAGCCAGCCTTGAGGGGTACACCAAAGAGCCCACGCTCTTTAGGAGCACCAAGGAGGGCAGCGACACCGCGATGATCCTCCACGCCGACGACGGGCTCCTTGCCTCAACAGCAAAGGGCCGGCAGGAGTTCGAGGAGAAGTTTGGGTCGGCCGTGACGCTCCAAGTGAGCGAGCCCTTGGTGGAGGACGGGGACACCATCGAGTTCCTAAAGCGCAAGTACGTGAAGACGCCTGAAGGTGTGGCTGTGTACTCGAACCCCAAGTACTTAGCGTCCCTCCAGCCCTCCAGAAGAGCCTCGGTTCCAAGGTCAAGCCTCGCGACAGCCCGGTCGACAACTCGTTTCTGGAACAGGACGCGAGCAAGGAGCTGGGACCAGCCGAGGCAAAGGTCTACAAAGAGTCGGTCGGAAGGCTCTTGTATCTGGCCCACTCCCGGCCAGATGTGCAATATGCCGTGTGCATCCTGAGCTCAAAGATGAGCTGCCCCACGGCCTTGGCAATGAAGTGGCTTTACCGCGTTGTGGGATACTTGGTGGCGACGCCGGAGATTGGCTTCACAATCCGCCCGCTGAGGAATGGAAGCTCGTTTTCCTACGCAGGCGGGGAGCTTCTGTGTGAAAAGAGCGGGCCGTTCAAAGTGGTGCTGGAGAGCATCACAGATGCCGATTGGGGCGGATGCAAGAGGACGAGAAGGAGCCGGAGCTCAATGCAGTTCTACGCTGGGGGGTCCGTGATCGGGTCCGCCGTTCGGACCCAAAGGTCCATAGCCCTTAGCTCGGCCGAGAGCGAGTTCCTTGCGATCCTCGGGGGCGCTTGTGAGGTCCTCTACCTGCGGGACTGCATAGCTTTTCTGGGCAAAGACGAATTTGAGGTGGAAGTGGTGTGCCGCAGCGACAGCGCATCGGCGCGCGCTATCACGCAGCGCCTTGGCTGCGGGCGCGTTCGGCATTTGCATGCCGGCTGGCTTTGGATCCAGGCCTCAGTGAAGGCCCAGGAGCTGTGCGTCAGCCCCATTGCGGGGGCCCTCAACCCCGCCGACCTGGGGACCAAGCCCCTTTGCGGAAACAGAATCAGGGAACTGCTCTACACCATGAACGCCGTCGAGCCGAGCGGCGAGCCCTACGGGAAGAGCGACAAGGAGGCAGCAGATGAAAAGCGGGCTTTCAGCAAGGCTCTCAAAGCCTTCAGTGACAGCGGTGCACGCGTCAGCAACGTGAAAGCGCTCATCCCCTTAGTGCTGATGCTGAGCCAGGTCCCGGGAGCCCAGGGCTTGGGCCTAGCAGGAGCCAGCTTTACAGATGATGAGTTGGCGCAGCTGATGGTTACGCTGGTGATCGGGGCTGTGGTGGTTTTTGTTTTCTGGGGCATACCGTTTGCCGCCTACAAGCTACTTAAGTGGAGCTTGGGGCTCATTTTCCGGAGCAGAGGAACGGCCACCACTGGCACCCAGACAGAGCCTGAGGAGGAGGAGCGGGACCAGCAGCGAACGCAAGCAGTTCAGGCCAACCGGGGCATGAGCAAAGAGGAGAGGTTGTTTTCAGAGGAGTATGTAAGGCGGTGTACAGAGCTTGAGGCCCTCTTCGCCGAGAAGTGCAGGAAGGAAGAGGCTTGCTGGCGTGAGCTTGCAGAGCTGAGAGATGAGAACCGGAGGCAGCGAGAGGCCTTCGAGAGGCTGAGGGCCCGGCGAGCACCAGAGACGGTGCATGTAGCAATGAGTACCAGCCCGGGCTATCTGATGGTTAATTCACTGAGTGCTGCTTCTTTGCTATCTGTCGCTTGTTTAAGGGTAGCTGGATTTTGCCATGAGCGACATGAACTGCTCAAAAATGTTTGCTTGCGGATTCGCAAGCTGCCGGTGGCTTGGCATGTCGGGATCAAGATTATGGTTCGAGATGTGACCGGAGATGTTGAAAGGATGCCGATTTCGGTGTCGCGATGGGAATTATATAAGACAGACAGCAACTGAATTTGTTTTCGTTTGTGCAACGGAAAGTTTAGTGGCATTTCGAGTGTGTAACATACATATAAACATGTCGTCGCCGACAGAAATGAAATTTGAATTTCGGTGCCTAAAAATGATTACGAGTATATGTTGCCGGCGGGGACATGTGATATACTTTTACATATCCTATATATATATATATATAGTAAAGTGTGTGTCTCTTGCATCTCTCTCCTGTGTGTGTGTGTGTGTGTGTGCATGTGGGTCAATGTGCATGCATGTGGGCCAGTGGGCTGCGACTGAACATCGCCCGGCAATCGCACGCCTTTTATATTCAGGGCCCTGGACTTCGCACATGCTGCCTTCGGATCAGGAGCTCCCTGGGGACTCCTAATGTGTTGAAGTGATCGATGCTAATGCATGCAAGAGCAGAAGCACATAGAAGCACTGCAGCATAGATAGGAACCATGGATCCGAGCGCAGCCATGAGCAAACGTGAGCAGAAGACGGCAGAGATAGCCCAGTCGCTGTACAACCGTCTGGACCTCCAGTTTGTTGCGTCGACAGGGAGCCTGTTTCCTACTACGTCGCTACGGCACCGAGCAACTCGAGAGATGCTTTCGTTTATGCGAGTGTTCAAGTACGAGGGTGTGGAACGACTATTGACAGAAGCTATGTCCCGAAGAGTATTGCAGATGCTGCTGGATGACTATGCCTTGCAGTTACCGGAAACTCCAGGAATGTCCAGATCCAAATGGGTCCAGCAATCGGGCAAATGTCTACACATGATGCTTAAGAAAGCTAGAAGGGGCTCCTCTGGTGACGACGCCATGGACGACGATGAGACGCAGATCATGATCCAGGATCCCGACCTGCTGGACCCCTCGGAGGACCGTGGTCCTCATGCGGCCTTGCAACTTTATGGGTGTATGCCTTTGTTCATGCCTGGAGGACTCGCAGTGCTTGAAGCGGAAGGCCTCGAGTTCTGTTAGTGCAGCTTGGATTCAAGTGGACTTCCTTTTGAGATTGTGTCTCAACATGTACATGTGCATCTCAGCTTGGTGGCATCGTGCCGAGCAAGCGACTTCGGGGCAAGACGCCTCCAGTGCCTGTGGCGGCTCTATCATTCTGTGTTCGCTGTCCAACCCGCATGCATGCATGCAGCCAGTATTATATTATGCTGGAATCATATAGTTTCAGTACATGCAAGGAAGACTCTCGATCGTCTGATGATGCGGGCGATTGCCAAGAGGACGGCTCGAATTTTGTAGAGATATGTATATGGTATAATTCCCAAACCTAGTTTCAACACCTTGAACACGGACAGGACGATCAGCTGACCGAGCCGAATGATCTCGAGGCGGAGGCTTCAGCTCGGGTGTTTGTGTCTCTGGTGTCTGTTTATGTGTCCCAGGTCCGTGTACCGGAGGGTCGCTGGTGGTGCAACCAGGACAGTCGCCACGCATACGTGTACACTTGCTGTCTGCGATTATTGCATGCAGGACGGGCAATGGTTTTGCACGCCATGGAATGCCGAGGAAGCCGAGGCCTATCATCGATCCGCAGTTTTGGTGTTCTGAGTGTGGTTGTGAATTTCCAGGAAGTTTCATCGGAGACCCCCGCTGCTGATGACTTCTCATGGCCAACGGAATACTACGAACATGGGGTGCCTGACTTGCAAGAACTCCAGGCCCGCTAGCTTTAAAATTAATCCATTGCCACCATGGACATAAACTTAGTGTCGATGCAGGACGACCAGTTCCACGGCGACGGGGCGAAGACTGGAGAGGCCGATCTGTGCCACGCTGGCTCAGGAGTCGCATGGGTGGGTCGGTCATGTGGGATTTATATCAGGATGAACAGGATGATGAGGAGTACCAGGCCAGTTTGACGGCAGCCTTTGAACTCTCGTACGCAGTCTTGATTGACTTCGCAGGCACCCGAGACTTCGGAAGATGGTGCCAGGGACAAGGTCGGTTTTTTTTCGCAAGTGTCCTCATGCATTCATGTATAGATACATGCGAGGCTTGGAAGCCATCGGATGAATGGGAGAATCACGGCTCTGAAGGACATCGTGAGGTGTGGTTTGGGGTTTCCATTTGCAGCTGTCCTTTGCAGATTCATGGATTGTAGGCTCGGAATCCCTGCACTTGGTGCGGTGAACAGGATGAAGCCCAGGCAGGAATTGGGATGTAAAACTGTTAACTTTAAGTTCGTAGACTGCTGTGCAGGCCCGGGATGATTCCGGTGGAGATGATGTCGAGGTACATATGGGTTCGTGTCGACAAATGGTGTTGTTGTGCATTAATTCTTGTGCAGGCCACAGAAGCCCCATCGGATGAGTGGGCTCGCGATGCTGGAGAAGCTGTCGAGGCATGGGTTGGTTTCGGCAAATAATTGTTGTCCGGCTCGTGGATACAGGCCACGAAAAAGCCGTCGGATGAGTGGGATCTCGATAGTAAAGATGTCGAGGCATGGGTTGGTGTCGGCAGTTTGGTGCTTCGTGTCTGGCTCGTATATATACACGGATTAAATACTTCTGCAGGTCATGAATGAGCCATTGGAAGACTGGGAGGATGGCCCCGGAGAAGATGTCGAGGCATGGGTTCGTGCTAATTGTCAGGCTCCTAGAGTATAATTCTTGGTTAGGCCACGAATGGGCGATCGGACGAGTGGGAGGATCCAGATGGAGAAGAGGTCGAGGCACGGGTTCCTGTCGGCATATCATTGTTGTGCAGGCTTATAGATTCTTGTGTAGGCCACAAAAGCGCCGCCGGATGAGTGGGATTGCGATCACTTTGGAGAAGATGTCGAGGCATGGGTTGGTGTCGGCAAATAATTGTGTTGTTGTCAGGCCCCTAGACTATACTGATTCTTTTGCAGGCCACGGATGAGTGGAAGGATCCCCCTGGAGAAGAGGCAGAGGCATGGGTTGGTGTGGGTAGAGGTGTTGTTGAGGTTTGCAGATTCTCGTGCAGCATGACGATGAAGGTGTGGTCCATGTGCAGATATATCCTGTGCAGGCCACGACGAAGCCATCGCATGAGTGGGTCGAGGATCCCGAATGGGGCGACGAGGCATGGGTTGTGCCCTATATAAGAGCACTGTCGTTTTTATAGGTTTGTGAGAGTGTGTACAGATTCCTACGCAGGCCACGAAGAATCAGTTGGAAGAGCATGAAGAAGATGAGGCATATGGGTCGGGAGCAATAATTAATAGAAGGTTGGGGTTCGCATATGAAGTCCTATATACGCTTGCAGGCCATGAAGCCATGGGCTGAGTGGGTCGAGGATCCCGCTGAAAGGGGCGACGAGGCATGGGTTGGACTGTGTGTGTGTGTGTGTGTGGCCCTTTATACGCAAATGTCTGTGCAGGCCACAAAGGCATCGGATGAGTGGGTCGAGGATCCCGCTGAAGGGGGCGATCAGGCATGGGTTCGGCTTTCTGTGTGGTCCTCAAAAGGTTCGCATTAATTTCTGTGCAGGCCACGAAGGCATCGGATGAGTGGGTGGATCCCGCTGGAAGGGGCGATGAGGCATTGGTTCGGCTTTCTGTGTGGTCCTTTAAGCTCGTAAATTTCTGTGCAGGCCACGAAGGCATCGGATGAGTGGGTCGAGGATCCCGCTGGAAGGGACGATGAGGCATGGGTTCGGCTTTCTGGGTGGTCCTTTAGGTTCGCATTAATTTCTGTGCAGGCCACGAAGGCATCGGATGAGTGGGTCCATCCCACTGGAAGGGGCGATGAGGCATGGGTTCGGCTTTCTGGGTGGTCCTTTAGGTTCGCATTAATTTCTGTGCAGGCCACGAAGGCATCGGATGAGTGGGTCCAGGATCCCGCCGAAAGGGGCGATGAGGCATGGGTTCGGCTTTCTGTGTGGTCCTTTAAGCTCGCAAATTTCTGTGCAGGCCACGAAACCATCGGATGAGTGGGTCCAGGATCCCGCCGAAAGGGGTGATGAGGCATGGTTTGCAGGGGACTGACAAAGGTGTTGCATGTCGATCTATACAAATACATGTATAATATATATATATATATATATATATATATATATATATGTATATATATATATATATATTATATACATGTATTTGTAGATATGTATAGGTACGTATATACGGATCCGTATATACTATAAATATAGAAATATATAAATATAGAACAAAATAATCGGTCGCAGGCCACGGCGAAGACACACGACTATGTCGAGATAACATCGGACGAGGAGGGTCGAGGGCGATCTGTGTGTATATTCATGTACACCTACAACTATATTTATTTTTTTAGATCCTGCGTTTTTGTCAGGACGCCGGAGCATACGACTGGTCGTCTGATGGCCAGCCCTGGCTACAGTGGGACGCTGGCGATGCATTTTGATATAGGGGTGCGAGTTTAGTATACCGGCACGCCATATTTTCGCATCTCATGTCCAGGAACCATCAAGCAGCAGTGATCAGTGGCACGGCGGCGATTACCCCGAGGATGCACCAGCCAAGGCCGGTGAAGAAACCCGCATTCAATGCAGAGGTTCTAGTTAACATGCTGAGCTGATAGGCTCTCCTGAAAGAAATGGACAGTTTGATTGAAACCTGCGAGACAGCCGCTCGTTTCCGAATAACATGTGTCTGTCTTCAAATTGCAACAGTCATTTATCGCAGGCCAAGAGGAAAGCATCCGAGAACGCTCGGGTGCACCAGAATGTCGTGAACTTGATCGTCACTCGGCGGCAACGATTCCCACTTGTCTTCTGCTTGACTGTGCATACATGTCACCTTTTGTTTGAATCACATACCCCCAGGAGAAGAACATTGAGACCCTGGGTGCACCCGTCGAGGAGAAGACTCTCGGATTGTATACCCTATAAACCCCCAAACCCTATACAGTGGGGCGATGCAATGGTTGTCCTTGGAATCGCATCTGATTTACACTGGTCCACATGCACCCAGGCATCCAAAGGGTGAGAAAGGGAGGTTTGTGAAAAAGGCCGGGCCACCATTATCTCTACTTAACCCAAAACCCAAAACCC